TCAGCTCGAATCAGATTAAACAGTTCTTTAGAAACCTTAACTTCAACCTCAAAACTCGTTTGAGAGGGACTTGAAAGGGCAGCCAATTGAATAAATTCAAGTTCCCTTTCTTTATCTCTCACTCTCCCCCTTATATCAGAGAATTCCTCCTTATTGAGCTTCTTAAGCAAACCTTTAAGTATCCTTAGTTTCTTGTAACCCTGATCAAAGGAGAACCTCCCACAACTTCAGTCCAAGCTTGAACAAGTAGACCCTCATACATTGGATTCCCCAGCCAGAAATTGAAAAATTTAAATGGCTTAGGCAAAGACTTAAGAGGAAACTCAGTTTGAATAAAAACCGGGTAGTGATCTGACACCCCAGGAGAATGCAGCTGCACTACACTCCGTTTCATCTCTTCCAGCCACCCCAAATTGACAAAAGCCCTATCAAGTCTTCGAGAAATAGGATCACCTTGCCTCTTATTGAGCCAAGTAAACCATGGGCCAGTAGATTTATGCTCCTCCACATCAATATCTCTCAACCAGTCATTTAGAGACTCATACTAGTAGAATACTGAGGACTATTTGAGCCTTCACTTGGATCTCTAATAGCATTAAAATCCCCAACAAGAATCCAGGGAAAATTGACCACTTTAAGGCGAGTTACATCTGCATAAAGCACTTCCCTCTGACTCTCACTATTAGAAGCATACACAAACATAGCAAAGAATGGAGCACTGCCCCCAATTAGGACATGAACAAACTGATCAGAGCTTTTTGTGATAGTTAACTGAATCTCAGAGTGCCATTCTAACCAAATTTTCCCCAAACCTTCATCATTGAAAAAGATTTCCTGCTCCCATCCTGCAAATCTTTTTTGCTTCAACTTCTTAGCTTCCAGTCTACTTACTCGAGGTTCCAAAATAGCAACAACATCTCAACTGAATTTATTTATTTTATTTAGTATAGCTGTATATTTCTTATCTGCATCAAACCCTCTAGTATTTCATGAGACTGAGAGCCTTGAAATAATTTGATTTTTGATAACTTGTTATCATTTCTATAAAAATCTTGTTCACTTGTTATTAATTCAACAAGTCCAAATAATATTCATCCAGATGAAAAAGAGGCTCTTGATATCCTTAAAAAAAAATTGTAACAATTTTTTCGAAGTTAATTGCTCATTTACTCTTGATGTAATGATTATGCTGCACTATGGGCGCAATTTTGTTTCTTACATGATTGTACTAAGCATGTACACTATGTTTGAGGTTTTGTTCGAGATGGTATAGTAAGTATTCGTTACATTATTCAGACAGAACATCAGGTCACTGATAAGCTTACTAAAGTATTCACCATGAGTTGGCATCGACATCGGTTTCTGGGAACGACATCAGTTTGAGGAGATTATTAGATGAATATTAGGTTCGGGTTTTTATTATGTACACAGTACATTTAACTGCCAATTAGCTTTGACAGTTGAGTTTATAATTAGTCACTAACATCGTGTAGCCCATGACAGTTGAGTTCATAATTAGTCAGTAACCTAGGGCTGAACATGTATATAGAGAGAGGTGTAAAACAGTCGTAGATCCTCGATTCGTTCATAGTGAAATCGCAGCTTGAAGAGTGATAGCTCTTCCATTGATTATTTCTTGCATTACAGGGACACCATGATTAGTCATTAACATAATGTAGCTCATGTATAGTTAGGAGGTCGAGACTCGAGAGTCATAACCTAAGCTCTAGAGCTGAACGATTATATAGAGGGGTTGTATAACAAATGTAGATAATTTATACATCCATAATATAATACCGGAGTTTGAAGAGTAATAACTCTTTTGTGGACTATTTCTCACATTCCAAGAATACCACGCTAAATCGATCTGTCTCTTTACTGTTTTTGCGTGATTGTTCATCAAAAACTATTACAGAGTCGGAAGCAATAAACAAAACCAAAGTGATGAGGAACGAGACCACCAGGAGAATGAGGATCCACGAGAGGAGGCGCCACGAAGGGAACCGGGTCCGACTGACGAGACCGAGGTGGCGGACGAAGACGTGCATAGGGCACGGCGGTCGAACCGCCAGCCCAAGCCCAACCCGCGGTTCATGAAATAGTCGTTATTATCAGTATTGTTGTCTTAAGGAAGTTGGTTTCCTAGTTTACATTGGATTTGGACTATTTCTTTCTTTGCACGTTACGGATAAGGATTGTAGAAACTCTATATAAGTTTATCATTGGTAATAAGATGAGAAGATTGGAACCCAGAATTAGCTCTTATTTTCCTTAGTTCGTAGTTCGTAGAAACCCTTTCATTCCGCATCAATTGGTATCAGAGCCTGGTTCGATGGAACTGAGCTCGAGACCGCTCCCAGGGCACGCGCCGCCAAAACCGGAACGCACTTGTCCCAATATTGGCCGCGCAACTCCAGCCAGCGGTGAGTCCCTCGAATCACAAGGGCGGCCACCGAAGCCACCTGAGGCCGAAGTCTCATTGTTCACCCTCACCGGTGTTTCTAACCCAACGACCATCCGCCTGTCCGTCAAATTGCAGCAAGACACGCTAGTGGCCTTGGTGGATACTGGTTCGTCACACAACTTCATCAACAGTAACATCGCAAAAGGGATGGGCTTATCATCAGCACCAATACCACCGTTCCGCTTCAAGATTGCTAACGGGGACTTCTTGTCTTGCGAGAGATGCTACGAAGGAATCACTCTCGACATCCATGGAGAACAAATAGGGGTAGATCTCTATGAGCTGCCGATCGAGGGCATTGACCTAGTTCTGGGAGTACAATGGCTACGGCAGTTCAGCCCGATCACCATCGATTGGCAACAACTCACCCTCCGCTTCAAACACGAAGGGCGTTGGGTCACCCTCGAAGGAATCCGACCTTCCATTGTTCGGGATAATCAACCCCAGCTAATTCAACCAAGAGACGTGGCCGTCTGGGCTTTAGGTCTTCCGGAGGCGGCTGGAACGGACAAACCACCCCCGCCGGAGCTACGCGAGCTGCTCGAAAGCTTTGGCGAACTATTTGAAGCGCCAACCAGCCTACCGCCGGTTCGTCCAGTCGATCACTGTATCAACCTCAAAACAGGAACCGAGGCAGTCAACGTGAGGCCCTATCGCTATGCTCACTTTCAGAAGGAAGAAATCGAACGACATGTTAGTGAGATGCTAAGGTCAGGTCTCATTCGACCGAGCTCGAACCCGTTCTCATCCCCGGTTCTCTTAGTCAAGAAGAAGGACGGCACTAGGCGGTTTTGTACTGATTATCGAGCTCTGAACAAGGTTACTGTTAGGGATCGCTTTCCCTTTCCCACGGTGGACGACATGCTTGATGAGCTCCACGGTTCCCAGTACTTTTCGAAGCTCGACCTACATGCGGGGTATCATCAAATACGAATGTGAGCAGAAGATGTGCATAAAACGGCCTTCCGAACACATAGCGGGCACTACGAGTACCTCGTCATGCCATTTGGTCTGTGCAATGCACCATCGACATTTCAATCAGCAATGAATGATATCTTCCGACCCATCCTCCGCAAGTTCGTACTGGTTTTCTTTGACGACATCTTAATCTACAGCAAGGACTGGGCGATCCATCTCAAGATCGTCTTAGACATCCTGCGCCAGCACCAGTATTATCTCAAGAAGTCGAAATGTGTGTTCGGTTTACAACGACAGGAATACTTGGGGCACATTATTTCATCAGAAGGGGCCCATGTCGATGATTCTAAAACTAAGGCCATGATCGAATGGCCCGCACCACAAAATGTAACCGAGCTTCGAGGGTTTCTTGGGTTAATCGGTACTACCGAAAATTCGTCAAAGGCTATAGTTCTCTTGCACGACCCCTAACTAGGTTGCTTAAGAAGGGCGGATTCGTATGGAACGAGGAAGCTGCGACAGCGTTTGAAGGCCTAAAACACACAATGACCACCACACCCACGCTAGCAATGCCGAATTTCGAGGAACCCTTTGTTATCGAGGCGGATGCATCGGGAAAGGGGATCGGAGCAGTGCTAACCCAAAATGGGCACCTCATTGCTTATATGAGTTGTCTCCTTGGACCCAAGAAGGAATCATGGTCAACATATCAAAAGGAGATGCTAGCGGTCGTCATTGCGGTGCAACAATGGAGACCTTACCTGCTCGGCCGAACATTCCATATATTCACCGACCAGCAAAGCCTCCGGCACCTGCTGGAGCAACAGATTACCACCTCTGACCAGCATAAGTGGGTCGCAAAAACTTATGGGGTATGATTTCAAGGTCCATTATAAGCCCGACTTGGCTAACAAGGCAGCCGACGGGCTCTCGAGACGGGCGGGATCGGCATACCTCCAAGCTATCACACGACCGGAAGCCACGCTATGGGAAGAATTGCGTCAGGCAGTGGTGAGCAATCCTTACTTAAAGGGTCTACGTGATAAGGCACTATCATGACCCTGGGGACTATGAGCTTCGAGATGGGTTGATTTTTTGCAAAGGGCGCATCATTTTGCCTCCTCATTCGTCGTTGGTAACTACAGTTCTCAAGGAGTACCATGATTCCACGGCCGGAGGGCATTCCGGGGTGGAACGAACCATGCGGCGGCTAAGTAGCCATTACTACTGGCCGCAAATGTCTAGGGCTGTACGCGATTACATTCGATCATGCGATATCTGCCAACGAGTTAAGGTGGCCGGACTTCTACCGGCAGGCTTACTTCAACCGTTACCGATTCCAAGTCAAGTGTGGGAGGAGGTATCCATGGATTTTGTGGAAGGATTGCCAAAGGTAGCAGGCACGTCAGTTTTGTTTGTCGTAGTTGACCGCTTAACTAAATACGGTCACTTCATGGCTCTCAGCCATCCTTATTCGGCCAAAACCGTGGCGGAGGCTTTCATTGATGGGGTCATTCGACATCATGGGATACCTGCAACTATTGTAAGCGACCGTGACAAGGTATTTTTGAGCAATTTTTGAAAGGAGATCTTTTTGCAGTTCGAGACAAGGTTGCTCATGAGCACGGCCTACCACCCGCAGACGGACGGACAAACTGAAGTAGTCAACCGATGTTTGGAGCAGTACCTACGCTGTTTTACGCAGCAACATCCACGGCGATGGCTAGCATTGCTTCCCTGGACTGAATTTTGGTACAATTACACGTACCATCGCATGATAGGGACATCCCCATTCCGAGCCCTCTACGGTCGTGAACCACCTACGGTCATTCCATATCATGTGCAGACCAGCCCAGTAGTGGGAGTCGATGAGTTATTACGCGAACGCGATGCGGCCTTGGCTAGTCTGCGAAAGAACTTAGCGGCAGCTAACTTGAAGGCCAAGCAACTCGCTGATGCTAGTAGGCGAGACGTGACGTATGAAGCGGGAGAGTGGGTTTTGCTGCGCCTCCATCCGTATCACCAATCTATGGTTTTTAGGCGGGCATCTCAGAAGCTTGCAGCACGATATTTCGGGCCCTACCGCATTCTAGGACGAGTGGGCGAGGTAGCCTACCGGCTAGAGTTACCCGAGGGAGCACGGATTCATCCGGTTTTCCACGTATCACTACTCAAGAAATATGTGGGTGATCCGGAAATTGTGCTCGCCGATGCGCCCTCTGTTAATGACGACGGTGAGCTGGAGATTTTTCCACAGGAAGTGCTAGGCCACTGCTGGACCCGAGTGCGAGGAGGAGTGATCGAAGAATGCTTAGTACGATGGCGCCATTTGCCGCGCGAGGAGGCCACTTGGGAAAGCTACGAGGAGATTCGTCGTCGATTTCCTGAATTTGACCTTGGGGACAAGGTCGCACTTCAGGGGGGGGGGGATTGATGAGGAACGAGACCACCAAGAGAATGAGGATCCGCGAGAGGAGGCGCCACGAAGGGAACCAGGTCCGACTGACGAGACCGAGGTGGCGGATGGAGACGTGCATAGCCACGGCGGTCGAACCGCCAGCCCAAGCCCTACCCGCGGTTCATGAACTAGTCGTTATTATCATTATTGTTGTCTTAAGGAAGTTGGTTTCCTAGTTTACTTTGGATTTGGACTATTTCTTTCTTTGCACGTTATGGATAAGGATTGTAGAAACTCTATATAAGTTTATCATTGGTAATAAGATGAGAAGATTGGAACCCAGAATTAGCTCTTATTTTCCTTAGTTCGTAGTTCGTAGAAACCTTTCCATTCCGCATCACAAAGCAACCTGACATTTCTGCATTATCAATTTTTATGGCAGCAGAATGCACATCTGAGCAATAGAGAAATCTAACACTCGCTGAAAATAACTTAACTTGCAAGGAGAAGAATGAGAGAGAGCAATGTCCTTTTCAAAGCTCAAATCTCTTTTCTCTCCAAGCAAAATGCGTAGGCAACAGATAAACACCCACCCGGAAACCACAAAATACTGACCTAATTGAAGCCCGACTCATTGCCACATACACTAAGATACAAAATACAGTACATCGTCTTCTTCATCTTCCCCACTCGAACTGCTAAAATACCTTCCGAGCAAGAGAGAATCTACAATCCCATGTGCCACGTCATAGCAAAGTTCTTCCCCACCGGAATCTCCAACCCACTCACCTCCACCATCAAACTCTTCTTCGCCTTCTCATCTCCATCGCCCGACGACGCAACGCCAATCTGCTCCACCGACCTCACCTGCACCTTCGAAGCCACCGTGGCCGAGATCGCATTCCCGTCGACTTGAACATCCGACGGCGACGCCCCACTTCCACCCAGCCCCAACACCGACACCTTCTCAATTACCAACCCTTTCCCCAACGCAAACTTACCTTCCTGAACCTCCGACCACAGCTTCACGCTCCCTTTGCTGACGGTAGCATAGAACTCAATGTACGTTGACTCGCCGTTCCCTAGCTTCATCTCCGGAAGCTCGTCGTTGTCCATAAACAGACTCCCTTTCGCTTCCGCTCCATCGGTTGCTCCAGCAGGGAAGGTCACCACGAGGCTGAACGGCGTCGTCCTGGCGTCCTTCGAAATCATTCCGCCTCTCTGCATCGGCAAAATTGTGTTCTGGTACAAGTGCACGTTGATGAAGTGCAATGGCGCGTCTAACGTGTAGTACTCGCCCTTCGAATCGATGGATTGAGACATGTCGGACATGCTGTACCACGAACCGGGAGGGAACAACGCCTTCACTTGCGTTTTCCCCTGCTCGAGCACCGGAGAAATCATGAGGCCGCTGCCTAGCAAGAACTGCGTGCTCAGCCCGTAACATTCGGTGTAGGTAGGGAACGAGAAGAAAACCGGCCTGGCGATGGGAGCTCCCGTCAAGTGAGCGTCGTAGCTCAACGTGTAGAGATACGGCAGGAGCTTGTACCTCAAGGCAAGAGCGTTTCTTGCGGATTCGGCAACCGATTCCCACTGGTAAAGCTCCTGCCTCGGCGAGTAGAAGTTGGCGTGGTCTCTGGAAAACGGGTAGAAAGCGCCCACTTCAATCCAACGGTTGCAGAGCTCCTCTGTTGGAGCAGGGTAGAACCCGCATATATCTGAACCAACCATCGGCACACCAAAGATGCCGAAGTTGAGCATTGTGGGGATGGAGTATTTCAAGTTCTCCCAGTTCCCTTGGTTGTCGCCGGTCCAATGAGCAGCGTATTTCCCCGATCCGACATAGGTGGAGCGCGAAAGGATGAAGGGGCGCTTCCCCTGAAGACCCTGAAGCGCCTTGTGGGTAGCAATGGATTGCGAGAATCCGTAAAGACTGTGTGCGTCGTACTCCAATACGCCGTTGTAATGAACTGCGCTGGTGGCTATGGTCTTGAAACCAATTGGCGCCTGCAATCCTGAGGCATTGATCTTATAAGGAGGGTCGTCCCACCTGGACTTGGTAATGTTCTTGCAGTCCAAGCAACATATCCACCCTGGACCGGTCCCCGTCGGACACTTCTTGCCCTTGGGGATTGTGCACAGTCCGGAGCAGAAGTTGGAAGCTTCATTCATGTCGATCCACAGGCCGTCGACAGGGACCATATCGTGGAAGCGGCGGATTTCGTCCCCCCACCAGGAGACAGTTTTAGGGTTGAGGAAGTCGGGGAAGTTGACTGCTCCAGGCCAGACTTGAGCCAGGTAAGGCTGGCCTTCGTACTTGATGAACACGTCATCTGCAAGGCCTCTGTTGTAAACACCGTAAGTGGAATTAACGTTGATCCCGGGATCAATGATGACAATGTACTTCATGCCGATGCTGTGGATCTTGTCCAGGAAAGCGCGCAGCTTCTCACGAGGGTAGCTGATGGGGCTCAAGGTGAAATCCTTGTGGAAATCCATGTGATCATCGTCGTTCCAGATCACGTCGAGTGGGATCTTGGCCTTCTTGTAGTTGTCCACCACATCTTCAACCACTGAGAGGTTGTGATATCCCCATCTGCATTGGTGGAATCCTGCATCAAAGAATTGCCAGAGTCAAAATACTTTCTAATTCAGGATAACTGTAATCTGGCTGAAGACAAACTGGGTTTTACTTCTTCTGGCAGAGAGCAGTAAACAATGACCAATAAACTTTTCCTTAAACTTATGCACAGTATTGATTGGGTTAAACCCACAGTATCTACTTCCCAACAACTAACCACAGAAAAAGTTCCAGACAATCACACATGGCATTATTTATTGCAGATTGATTGTGCTGTACGTGTTCTATCAGAGATGACAAGTATTCAGAGGACCAGGACGCAATATCCCGTCGTCCAACCACCGACAGAGCTATTGTAAAGGGGAACAACCCAAAATATGACCTCACTGTACAGTATCCTACAGAGTATGGTAGATGGTACCACCCTAGCAGGCAAATGAAATCAAAAGTTTTAAAGTCTTGGGCCGGCGCACCGCCCCACCTCGGCTCCATGGGTCCCCGCCCAAAATATTTGCAAGTCAAATTTAGACGTGGGGTTGGAAAATTGCAAAGATTAGGGTGAACTTGCACCACAAGATGGAAGTTTGTGCAGCACCGCATAGCAGTGGCAAATTAAGCAGATTTTGCTGTCTATTCTCTATAGAGAGGCCTTGACTAGTAGCTGGTTTGTGATCACAAAATGGAATGATTGGCCAATAGGGTCAAGATGTTTGGCTTGCAAAAGTTAAAAGCCAAAAGAGTAGGCGATATTTTTCTACCTTGAGATGCATCCGCCTTGTCTGCAATGTGACATGGGGACCTAACCATTTTGGGGTTTTCGTTTTCAAGGATCTAAATGACTAATCACATAGACAATTATAGAGATTTATTCGATCAACCAGGAAAAGGATAGGTTGTGTTGGTTTGAGTCTGTGGTGGAGGGTGGTACTAAATAAATTACAAATGGTCCAACCTCAACTACCCTAAATTAAGCAGATGGTACCGTCCTAACAGGCAAATGTGGGGAAAAAACCCTACCCTAAATTAATACTGCAACAATAGAACAGAACAGATAATTACACAGGCATGGGCAATAAAGGAGAAAGGTAAACCTTTGTATCCCAGAAGTTAATCACATAAACTTAAAGTTGAAACTATGAATGGCAAATGGGGTAGGTCCGGGGCGGGTATCTCGATACCCATACCCGCCCCGTGGCAGGTCGGGTTCAGGTTGGGTATATTATCACGAGACGCGGGTCGGGGCAGGTCGACCCAGTGAGTATCTAATTTATGTGAAAACATTAGAAATATTCGTTATTTTCATTATAATACCAAGAAAGAAACCATAATATGATGAAATGTAGTTAAATTATTGGAGAAATTAAGGTTTTCGCTTATTTACAGTTTATTATAGCTAAAATATGAGTTAATAATAGGAAAATCTTAAATAATTTGACTAAAATTACATGTAATTTAGAGAAGAACGGGTCAAAAATGGGGCGGGGCGGGGCAAGTCAGGTCGATGGGAGGTACCCATGCCCGCCTCAAAGCAAGTCAAACAGGTCGGGTAAAACGGGTCAAGTCGAAATTGCCATCCCTAGTTGAAACTCCCACAAAGTACTCCCTAAAAAAGATCAGATACTTTTAACCTATAGAAATTAGTACCATGCTAATTATTAGTTGTAGTAGTTCGTGTCAAAATTATGGTTCTATAATTGTAACAAAAAGATAATGACTTAAACTAAAAAATTATAATTGATTTGATTAGTATGATGTCAATATTTATGGTTAGTAAACTATCATGATTGCAGTACTACGATTAGTTTGGTACTAACCATTATAGTTCGCAGCAAGCTAACGATCCCAACTAAAAACATATATCAGCCAATTATTGATTAGGTGTTCGTTTTGCAGCACACATTCCTCTGCATATTCCCTAATCTTTGGCTTAACGACGTTCGGGATTACGATTTGATCAAACGTGCCTAAACCATAGTAGGCAAAACTTATTATTAATAAAAAATATCAAAGAAGGCAAAACTTTTTAATTTTGGTTGCCCACAGCCACAAAAACACAAGTTTGACTCCTCTAACACGTGCTACACAATCCAATCAACCGTGATTATCGGTTGTCACCCTCTGAAGACTCGATTAAGAATTTAAGATCCTTAATCTTGTTCTCAGTTATTGGACTAGGATAATACGCCAAATTCCACCACACTCCAAAATCAAGGCCTTTTTCCGGGGGAAAAAAAAACAATTGAAATCTTTATAGTCGTAACAAAATTAGAACATAATATCTAATTTAATCGATCTATAGCTCGACTTACTATTCCCCTATCAGTAACTTCCTAGCTTTCTTTAAGATGAAGTAACACACAGGAAAACAACAAACTCCCAGCACAACTAATCAACTACCTAGCGGCTAGCACCATTAACTATTAACAATTAGTGGGAACTGCAATCTGCATTACTAGCTCGTTACTTAGCAAGTAGGTAATTTACGTATTAAGTTTACGACGATGTTTAATATTTTTAGGACGACATTTAATCAACATTGGTCTGAACTCTGATGTGAAAAGCTGTTAAAATAACCGCAAGCCCAGTAAAAAGTAAAAAAAAAAAAAAAGACTGGGGAAAGGGTAAAGAATGATTTACCGAAAGCCCAGTAAGGCATGGGGGCCGGTCTGCCAACCAAAGAAGTGTACTGATCGATGACGCCCAAAGGACTCGGACCGGCGAAGAAGTAAAAGTCGAAAACGCCCCCAATCACCTTGTACGTCAGCGAACTCCCTCTGTAAAACACATCCATCCCGTTGCTGTTCAACAGCAAAACCCCGTGGGCGTACGGCTTCCCCTTCACGTTCCTGAGGTCCATGTAAACCGGGTGCGACCCGTACAGATCCGCATTCAGGTTAATCGCCGATATGTCGGTCGTGTACAGAGTGTACGGATCCCCCGGGTTCAGCTTGATCCCGTGCGGCTGCGTGTTCTCCCCGAGCCCGTACAGCGATGCGTCCTCGGGAAGCTTCGTGGAGATCTCCAGGTACTGGTCCTTGAACACCAATGGACCGAACGGGTCGCCGGAGCCGCCGCCGGAGCTGGTGTTGAACAGAGTCTGCCCGGTCGACTTCCTCCTCACCGCGAAGCTGAACGGGTCCGCTGTGTAGCTGAAGATCAGCTCCCCGGAGGAGGTCGCGTAGTCCTGGACGCCGATTAGGTTCTTCCTCGACCTCCCAATCGTCTGCTTCGCCACCGGCGGCTGGTCTCGCGGGAGGAGGTTGTACGGAACCTCCCACCTCTGCTTCTCCGCGTCCGTAATGTGAACCCGCAGCCGGTCGTCCGTTTCGTGCCTGAAAAAGAACAGGAGTGCGATTCAATTAACATTCCAATTTCGACAATGGAGCCGAGCTTAATCAATTTAATCGCACGGAGGAAATTGAATATTTCGTTTCTGTTAATACACTTTTAGTAATAGGAATAGAAAACCGCCATTGAAGAGCAGGGGGAAATGGGGGGGAAATTACTTGACGAAGAGCTGGAGCGTGGGGATATCGGCGCCATAGATTTTGTTCTTCTGCTTGACTTGAAGGTGGCCGAGGAAACCTCCGTCGGGAGTTTCTTCGAGGGAGATTAGGCGGTAGCCTTTCCCAATCTTGGAAGGGACGGAGGAGGAAGAGGAGTTAGAAGAGGCGGCGACGCCATGGAAGCAGAGGAGGAGGAGAAGAATTGAGGAGGAGTGAGGGAGAGAGAGCGACTTCATCTTCATCTTCTGCTTCCACTTCACTCTCTCTCAGTAATGGCTGAGCTACTGCTGTGCTGCAGTGGTTGGGGGGAAGAAGCAGAGATATAAAGGAAGAAGGGGAAGGAGGGAAATCAGCGGGTACATGTGAGCGCAGCATGAAGGAGCATGAGCCCACTCCGCTGGGCCGGACACGCTACTAGCTGTGGTGATGGAGTGTGGGCCGTTGCCAGGATTTTGGGAATTGGAAACTTTACCGTTTGATTTTGATGACTTATTTTACGGGTTAATGCTTAATAATACGGTTCTTTTAGTCCCTGTACTATACTATACGACATCTACAAAGAAGCCTCTGCACTATGAAAATTTTACATTTACACCCTTGCCAGTAGGGGTATAAATGGGTTGGGTGATTCGGGTTTAACCATTTTAATCACCCGATCCATGCACTACGGTTTGGAAAATATTAAACCCAAACCCATCCAAAAAAATTTAAACCCTACGGTTTGTTTCTAATTGGATTGGGTCGGGTTGACGATATTTTTAAGTAAAAACCCAACCCAACACAAAATATGTAATTATTCTACGCCATAAAAATATTTTATAATTAATTAAAATTTCAAACGAAAAACCCGAGTTGAAAGGTGTCAAAATTTACAAATGTTGCTTGAATTTTAATAAATTGAGATTTACTTCAACATATGTCTAGTTTTTTTCACGATATTTGTTGAAATAGGCTAAAAAGGTTATAAAAGAACTCATCCATAATATGTTATTCTATTAAAATTATACACAAGAAAATGGATGACGTGAATCATAGCTATATTAAATTTATGTCTAAACTTTAAATCAAAGAATGCATTAGATTAGAGAGACCATGAGAGAAAAACACGGCGAAATACCTTAATTTTCTCATAAGTATGACTATATACGACATAAATATGTTTCGAACTCATACCAATAGTTGGAACATGGGCTGGATCGGGTTCTACGGGTTGTATAATCCAAAATCCAAACCCAACCCAAAAGAGACGGGTTGTACAAAAGAAAACTCTCACCCAACCCAAAACCTTCATTTTAGCGATAAATACGGGTGGATTGGGCCGGATTGGACGGGTGGGTCGGTTTGCGCGTGTGTTTGTTCACCCCTACTTGCCAGTAGGAATGACAATGGAGCGGGTTTACCTAAATCATCCCATCCCCGTTTATAAATATCCAAACTCGTACCTGCTACATTCCTATGTGGCGAAGGTTTTGAAAACCCATCCTCATATCTGTGGGTAATACTTGGCTCGTACAATATTCAACATTTATTATACCTATGAATTTACATATAAATTTTCAATTATAGCACTAAGGGCCACTATATCATAAAGTCAACAAATATACAATGGTTGTTAATACATTTTAAATTATATGATCCTAAAACATCCATTAATTCATAGGACAGAGTACAATATTTTTCAAATCATTATTCTCTAACTCTGATGCATCTACTAATTAATAATTAATTAACATAATTATCTTGTTACACAAGAGGGAAAAGTGAAAGAATGAAGGGAGAATTAAAGAAAAAGAATTTTGTTTTGATTTGGATAACCACTCAATTACATTTCCGCTATTTATTTTCTTGAGTTACCTTCATTATTATTGATATGTTACAATTTGATCCATGTATTTTTTATATGTGGACAAATGTTCTTGATGGGACGGGAAGACTAAAACCATACATGTCTCGTAACTATCAAACTTTTTGCGGATTTTACTCAAACCTTCCGGTTGACCAAATCCATTATTGGGCTTCTTCCCAACTTCCTTCACCGATTAGTCATAGTATATTATATTATGATTATACTGCGACCCATTTCTTCTCTCTCTCTCTCTCTCTCTCTCTCTCTCTCTCTCTCTCTCTCTCTCTCTCTCTCTCTCTTTCATTCTCTCTGTCTTCTCTCTAGAACATCCATTCCAGCCGAGTGTGGGGCTGCTGCCGGCGTCTCTCCGTCGGTCGGCGACAACCCTCCTTCCAAAAAAATTTCCGTTCCTTTTTCTTTTTGTGCGCTTGTTTTACTTTCTAGCTTTGTGTTTTGTTCTGCCTTCCATGGCTTTTTCTTTCTCGTCAGTGGATCTTTCTTCCTCCCCCTCTGGTGGGTTGAGCTTTTGCCCTTCGATCTGGTCACTCGGATATGGAGATGATGGTTCGTTTCTAAGATGCAATGGAGGTTAGATCTGACTTGTTTTCTCCTTTTCTCTCCCTGGTCTACCTCCATGTCTCACCTTGCAGATCTAGGTGCGTCGGAGATGCACCCCTTGGAGTTGGACTCGGAGTGAGAAGCTTGAAGACAGAGGTCCTCTTCCCTCTGGTTCCTTCATCGGCGATGGCCGTTTGCTGCTGTCCCTGGGTTCTGATTGGGGGTGGCTGGAGCCGATTGGCTCGGGAATGGAAGGTGGGAGGTTCTCTTCCCCTCCCCTTCGTACGAGTTTGGTGGGATTCGAACGACAATTGCGGCGCTTTCCGGCGGTGGCGGCGCCGGGTGGGTGTTCTCGACAACGGCTGTGGGTCTCGGCAGCGGCGATAGGGAACAAGAGGGAACAGAGTGTGCGATTTAGGATTTTGAAACCCTTTCTTGTTTTGGCCCGGGTCCTGGCCCTGCTGGGTTTCCAGCCCACATGTTTGGGCCTTTTGATTTGGTTTCTGATCCAATTTCGTTTTACTCTGCATGTACCTTTTCATTTGGGTTTTGGTACGATAGCATTCTTAATGACATTTCACTTAAAAAAAAAAGATTTAGTAATAGTATAATAGTTTCGGTACTACATACAGTGAGCCGTATCTCATGTCTCTCACCGTCAGTGCGGCAACTAGGGATGGCAATGGGGCGGGTTTGCCTAAACCATCCCCATACCCATCTTCAAATACCCAAATCCATACCCGCCCCATACCCATGCGGGAGAATGTTTTGCAAACCCATCCCCATGCCCGTGGGTTTCGGGTACCCATGGGTAATACCCATACGACCATACCCGTACATCCAACATTATTATACCTAAAACTTACAAGAAAAGTTTTAATTATAACTCTAAACGAACATATTATATCATGAAGTCAACAAAACATAGCCATTTCTTTAATATGGTTTAAAGAATATGATCCTAAAATATCCATTAATACATAATATAGAGTATAATATTTTTCAAATTATTATGTTCTAACTCTGATACATCTACTAAATAATAATTAACTAACATAATCTTGTTGACAAGGGGGAAAGTGCAAGAGTGAAATGAGAATTGAGAGAAATGAATTAGGTTTTGATTAAGGTGTCCACTCAATTGCATTTCTACTATTTATTTTCTCAAGTTATCCGCATCATCATTGATAGATTATAATTTGACGCACATATTTTTTTATATATGAAGAAATTATCTTGGTGGGGCGGGTATGGGGATGGGTATGGGGCGGGGGAGGCTAAAACCATACCCGCCCCATACCCATCGAACTTTTTGCGGGTTTTACCCATACCCGCCCCATACCCGATCAAAGCAGAGATTTCCCACGTTGACTGGATCGGGGACGGTCGGATACCCGTGGCCATGGATTTGATTGCCATCTCTTACGGCAACGGGATTGTCTGAACACAGCTGCAGTAGGTAGCTGCTAGAGAATTGTGAAAGCATTGCATGCAGCAGCAGTACACTGAAACTGAGTAGTGATCATAAATTCATAATATAAGAGGAGCCGTGGAAAGCGGCGGAAATCACTGGTTTCTGGGATCTGGGTAATTAATATGGATTGTACACCACAATCCAAAAAAAAAAAAATCCTCTGATTTGTGTATTTATGACCCCTCCGGCCGGAAAATCTCTCCTACGCATGATTTGCGTCTCTACATATTTTCCCAATGCCATTGGCGACCAGTTTAACATTTTCTATTGGAATTTTCGCAGATGTGAATCTTGCATTGTCGGCTTATAATAATGACCTCGTGCATGCCAATTACTGGGCCTGCTCCTAGCTATATCCTGAACAATTGTATTATAGTCACATCATTCTATCGTGATTACAATTGAGTTTGGATGGAGGTTTTGAGTAAACGAGGCTTTTGGTCAGTTTAAATACTTATAGTCTTCCATGGTACACAGTCTTCCTACTATTTCAATTACAAGTGTAAATAAATGTTTGTACATGCATCTTTTATCACATAAACCTTATTCGGTTCATTCTCAGAATCTCGACACCATTCTTTTGTTGGGATTTGAAAGGTGTGAATGAGAATGAAAGGGGAATAAGCCAATAGTTGGTGAGTTATTGGTTAAACCAAGTTGAACCGAATCAGACCGAACCGATGTGGCGGTTGAAATGAAACCAACCGGTCCAACTACTATGGCGAACCGATGCAATGGTTGGGGTGTAACCACCCACTTGAAGGGTCACATCCCTTCATTGAACCATTGCAATGGTTGGGGTGTAACCACTCACTTGAAGGGTCACATCCCTTCACTCGCACCCCTTCATAGTCTATAAATAAACACCTACCCCCTTCTGTTTTCTATACAAGTTATTTTCCCAAGAAATTTTTCTGGCCAAAAGATAAAAGAATTTTTCGTTCTTCATTGCATTTCCTCTCTACAAACTCATAAAGAAAAACAGAGTCGTGTGACTTCTCTCCGATCATTGCGTTCGTCGGATTCTGGTGTTTCAAGTACCGGTACAGCCAGAAAAGGTACGTCCGTTCTATCCTGGGAGGAATAGTTCCAATAACCTTGGGTACCGTAGAGGGGAACTAAATTCCTTAAGGAGAAATAGTGAATTCTATTGGCTCGGGCGTTGTTTGTGCATGTGTCGATTTCTATATATGACTTGTGTGGCAAGAAACATACTTTTGTGAAACGTTTTCCATAACAATCTTAAGGAATTTATAATAATTATTCTTGTATACTATTTATGCCGGCGTAACCGAATGGTCTAGCGCAATTAAATTGCATGATCATGTTTATACATGGATTTGGATGTATTGTAATTGGTTTGGGGAAATGCATGCTGTTGAGATTTGATTCTTTAATCAAGTTTGCATAAAATACTTTCTGTGTGTTGGCATGGCGATTATGCATGTATCGTGTTGTTCCAAAAATTGCATTACACATTGCATGAATTGGTGTAGAAAGAAAGGAACCCAATAAGCACCAGAAAAAGGAATTCTAATTCTTCTAATTCATAATGTATTCATGTATACATGTATGTTCCCCTGTGTGAATGTTTTTAAGGAAGATATGATCATGTTTTATACGTTTTAAGAATCTCTATCATGTATGTATGTTTCACTGTATATATATGTGGATACTTGTGTATAAATATATATATCTTGCCGCTTGCATTTGGAATGCAACTGTATGCATTTTTTTGTGTGGATGTATATCCATTGTTTCAAAGAGGAGGTTGCTCGCATGATTCGATGTTTTGGTTGGAACAAAATTGAGCGGATGTAACCGCTTGTCTCCTCCAATCAAAAGAAAAGAAAAGGGATTATTGATCTCTAATTCACTGTTCATTGCAAGAAACCCCTTGGTTTCTGATTTGATCAGTGTGTTCATTCTGTTAGAAAAGAAAATGGTTGGTAGCACCCCCGGAGTATGGAGTCCAACTCACGAGGATGATGACGATGATGTCATAGAGGACATCAATATTGAATCAGCTCCAGAGATTATTGAGCTCTCTACTCCCGAAATGGAGTTTGACAATGAAGAGTGGTTCGATTTTTATGACGATAGCGGGGATTTGCTATATAATGACATTGGTGGAGAGCATCCAACCAATTATTGGACTCTAGATGGAATACCCATCTATGATTGGTACTCAATGGGTCCTAATGGGGACGATTTGGGCACCCATGTGGACTCAATGGAGAGTATGGGGGAAGAAGAGGAAGTTGAGGAATTGGAGAACGAGGAGGAGTACTCCGACATAGCGACCAATGAATGCCTCTCTGATCTTGACTTCGACCCCAAGAATCCTTAGGATTCTTCTATATGTATTGTAATCTCCTTTGAGGAGTAGACATATGTATGTGTGTATATATACATACGGTATTAGTAGGTGTGTACCTATGTAATTCGTGTATTTACATGATGAATGAAGGACAAATGTTCTTATCTCACAAGTGGAAAATTAGTTGGATAATACCTTACGAGTTTGTTTGGTTTCAAAATTAACCACAAAGTTTTAATGCTTTTATTGCATTGGTCCATCTCAATTATGTGGCATGGATGAATGACAATTGTACCAATTTAATTTGGACACTTTTTCCATTCAAGGTGATGCATGAGATGATGGACGTACTTATGATAGTCCTTCATGGACTCTAAGTAACGGTGGTTTGGATAGTAATAAACTATCTAGTGGGAAACTATGAACAATCATAGGTGTGTAAAACCTATGGCGCATGGCAAGTGGGGACTTGTGAGTCAAGTCTATCTAAGCCAGAATGTTTGCGTAGGTTATGTTCAAATTAAGTTGAACATAGTTATGAAAGAGTATACCTCCAATGTGTTGGAGATGAAATTTGGTTAATGCACGTTTAAAGGATTGCATTACGAGTAAGCCATAAGTGATAAGGAATTATAATTCCTAAGATGCTTGTGATGACATAATAATTTGTTTATTATGTATGTGGTTTAGGACTTGATGTTTCTTATGCCATAAGGGCAAGGAAAATGAAGCTATGATTGATCCTTATATGGATTTAATAAGCTTGCCAAATGATGGTTGTCATCAAGATAAGCATTAGGTCAGAATTGTTTATGACCTATGATTATCAACGTGAAGATCATTGACAGAATTGTTTATGGTATATATAGATATATATCATTGGAAAACAATTTGGCATGAGAGCTCAATTGAGATGATCTTATTAAACTTAAAAATCTAGATTACTTATGGTATATTTATGAAGTTTATACCATTGGAAAGTAATTAGACAATTGAATTAGAAATTCCTTTGAATTACTTGTGGTATATCATGTTACATAAATGAAATGTCATTGGTAAGTAATTAGATGGGATTTCCATTCCTGGAATGCATCTGAATTACTTATGACGTCTCAAGTTGCCTTGAGCAATACCATTGGTAAGTAATTGGATGATATTTCTAATAAAATCTGAATTGTTTGTGGTATGCTAATCGAGTGAGATCATACCATTGGTAAACAATTAGATACATATAGTGGTTGGCAAGTTCAATAAGTAAAACCATGGAAAATAAATGGGATTATTCCATGATGTTTGGCAAAGGGTAGAATTGTGGGGGAGAAGAGCTAGCCATTGTTTCGGCTACTATCTCAAGACCCTACAATGGGACGCTAACCTATCCATAAGACAAAAGTGGAAAGGTAAACGAAGTCATACTTGAAAGTATGAAGGTGTCCAATGAGAAAGCGAGAGTCCTTAAAACCTCGTGGAGTTAACCCAGTCCAAGGGTATAACTTATGAGTAAACTCTAGCATATATTGACGTTATGTCATTGATGTTGATCCACTCTTCCCAAAGAGATGATTTTGACCATATACATGAATGTATATGAACAACATTCCCCAAAACGGAAACGTTGGTTTCAACAACTATGGCGAAATAGTTGAAATGTGGGGGATAAATTGGGGAGAAGTAATGTGGAATGTCGCTTGGGTGATTCTAAAGTGAAAGTGATACTTAGAAGTTTTGCGTAAACCCTAAGCTAAGTCATAAATGTCACTACATTTAAAGAGATACTGGTGAAGCTCAAGTACTCTAAGGTTAATGAAGTGGAGAGACTTCAATACCGTTGGCATGTGTTATGATTATTGCAAGGCAATAAAATCAAGTCAAGCTCACAAGATGTGTAGTGCATTGAAAAGAGACGAGTCTTTGGTGTATTGTACCCAAAGGGAACTCACCGGATGAACCAAAAGGCAATCTAATAATGAATATGCATCTATGGTTGATGGGGAGCAGTACCTTGGAAAACTTCCAAATTAAACTATGTACCCACTCTAATACCGGTGAAGTTCTATAGTATGGCCCACAAAGACTGGCGTTAATAAAACGCTCTTGTGCACAAAGGTGTTATTGCAAGGGCTAGGAGTGTTATGTGATAAATCTCGTCAAAGATAATGTAAACGTAACACTATGGATTGATTAATTTCTAGCTAAGTTATTTGGATTGATCATCTTAGATCAAGTGATAACAAACGTTAGGCCTACCTAGAAATTAACGATAGCATCGAAGGGAATGGACTCGTGGCCTAGGACAAATCATCATGGCGGTAACTCTACCTAAGCAGGATTGGCAGACCCAACCTCTAGGTTCAAGGAGAAAACAAAGTTGTGAATGATGGTCCGACATTGTCAACTTATTCAAAGTCCATTCTCATGATGAGACAATGTCCAAAATATAAGGGTAAACCTAAATATGAAAGGTTTTTAATGGTTTCTAAGTTTGACACGTGTTGTGATCAAATAGTGTATTTTCGGAATACATGTTTAGAAATCACCTATGTGAGTGTGAAGTGGAGCCGCTTTAAGGAGAATAAAAGAAGGCCAATTCTCTACGCACTCATGAAACCAGGCGGTGTTCATGGCTGAAACGAACACAACAATGAGAACCAACGAGCGGATAAGAGTTGGTTGTGTGACATATGTTGTCTTAGTATACAAGAAAAACCGACGGTTCAAAGATATCATATCTACCGATTGGTGAGTATAATCGATATACGTTCACTAGGGAAAGTTCAAAGGGAAACCCACCTATCCTAATACAACTAATTCTTAGTTGAGAGTCACACAGTTTTTGCATAGTTTTCAAAACTTAGCATTCTCTTTCATGTGGGGGATTGTTGGGATTTGAAAGGTGTGAATGAGAATGAAAGGGGAATAAGCCAATAGTTGGTGAGTTATTGGTTAAACCAAGTTGAACCGAATCAGACCGAACCGATGTGGCGGTTGGAATGAAACCAACCGGTCCAACTACTATGGCGAACCGATGCAATGGTTGGGGTGTAACCACCCACTTGAAGGGTCACATCCCTTCACTGAACCATTGCAATGGTTGGGGTGTAACCACCCACTTGAAGGGTCACATCCCTTCACTCGCACCCCTTCATTGTCTATAAATAAACACCTACCCCCTTCTGTTTTCTATACAAGTTATTTTCCCAAGAATTTTTTCTGGCCAAAAGATAAAAGAATTTTTCATTCTTCATTGCATTTCCTCTCTACAAACTCATAAAGAAAAACAGAGTCATGTGACTTCTCTCCGATCGTTGCGTTCGTCGGATTCTGGTGTTTCAAGTACCGGTACAGCCAGAAAAGGTACGTCCGTTCTATCCTGGGAGGAATAGTTCCAATAACCTTAGGTACCGTAGAGGGGAACTAAATTCCTTAAGGAGAAATAGTGAATTCTATTGGCTCGGGCGTTGTTTGTGCATGTGTCGATTTCTATATATGATTTGTGGGGCGAGAAACTTACTTTTGTGAAACGTTTACCATAACATCTTTATCAATATTGTTATTCCTATCATGTATTGGGGAACGACAAACTTGCAGCACCCCAACATCACCCACTTTGATTAGTCTTGTGTCGTTTCATTGCTCCGCGATTTGATTGTTGGACTCTTACCTCTAAATCACGTGTAGACCTGCATCAAGGGACCTGTGTAATACATTTGGATGATCCATTCTTCTTGCTAAGGTCACAGGGGAGAAATTAAGACCATCATGAAGAGGAATTCTAAGTGCTCGTCACGAGCTTAGTGCATTGTCTAGACATTTTAATAAGTCTAATTGACTTTAATCAATGATCAACTTATATTATCGATCGTTCGGGTTGTCGAGTCATCTCATGTCTCATGTGTACATGCATTTTTTACTAAGCACAACTTCAAAGTAACTCATTTGTCCGTTAAGAGATTTCTCTATAGATTACATCATAAATAGTGTAGCACTTGTGGATAGTGTTGGGTCTAGTATTCACCCGCCTAATATGGGCCCAAGCCCACCACAAAGCGTCTCACCTTGGGCCCAAACCCATTATAGGGTCCAGTACACCAGGAGGCGTCCAGTCCACCCGGGGGTGTCCTTTACTCGAAGGCGTCCAGTCGAACCCATCTCTAAACCCTATCTCTCTCTCTCTCTACATTTCTCTATACACTATCACATATCCTCTTCTAACTTGAGCGTTGGAGTGTAGATCACGGGGGCCGCCCCCGACTCTTCACAGGATTCTTCCACTCCCGAGGAGATCCGACGAGGGAGTCCGGATCAAGATTCCACACTAATCACCCAACACTAATTCGGGTTAAACATTTTGGTGCCCACCGTGGGGCCATGATTTCGGTATTCTTCTCATCTAATTTCTGAAAGAGGGGGAAAATCTGATATTCCTTCACTAGTAGCCACCACTTCAAGGAAGAAAAGAGGGATTCTTCTCCTCCAGCGCAGCTCGTCGTCTTCACTGGTCGCCTCACAGCGACTCACCTCCGTTGGAACAACTCGACGTCTCCACCAATTTTGGCTTAGTTGTCCATCTACTCCGAGCATCGAGTTTGCATTCTTTGATCCACTAATCACCATGGGGTTCACGGAACAAACAAAAACCAACGACCTCCTCTATCCCGAAGGCTTCAAAGCCAGATCTGCATCTCTCCAAGTCATTAGCCACCTAAGAACAAGACTGGGAATTTCCAGATTACGGTCACCGGAGCTGCTAGCCTCTTTGGAGCTCCGGCAGGAAAAGGGAAAAGTACTGACGCTACTGTCAACGTCATTTCTGTCTCTCCCAAACGTCCCTGTCGCAGTGAAAAAGCAGCTCTACTGTTGTGGCAGGATCTGCAAAATTAGCAAAAGCATATTTTTTCAGTCACACTTTCTCTCTCCCCTAGGAACAAATGTGACATAGCTCCCGATGGGAAAAGAAAGCAAAGGAAAAGGAAGTTGCTGCTGTTTTGGTATTGAGAAGAAGGCGACCTACCAGCTCGCAAGCCGAACGCAGGCCCCCTGAAAATATTCCCAAGCTCAATTAAAGCTCGCCTTCAAACACACGCCTCCAACTCAAGGCCCGAAGGGGCCCGCCTGTGAAGCCCATCACAACACCGTCCTTTTGTTCACATGGGCCGCCTTACTCCCAGGCTCAATTAAAGCCTGCCTTACCTCTTCGCTTCACCTATTGCCAAAGCTTCAGCATCCAAAGAACAAAAACCGCCTCTGATGAGAGTCGAAACGACAACTTGCACCTCCTAATCAAATGAACGCTTTATATTTATAACGTTCTAGGTCCAACCCGCTTCACAAGCCAATGCCTCCTTTGGTCCATCAGGCCAGAAACCACTTTTAGCCTGCCTCCTGCCTTTAAAGCCCGCTCCACATCGGCTTCCTCAAACTGCATTGGGCAGCGCTATATCAAAGACGACAAGCCCACAAAAGTTTACCACTCTCGCCTCGGCCCGTCTTCAGCGTCAACCCGCAACATCAACCCCTTGTCCTAGCTTCAGCCAGCCCAATTCGTGCTCCTATTAAAAGGGAACAAAGCCGAATTAAGACCATTATGAAAACCGAATTAAAAGGGAAGAACGCCGAATTCGCTTCCCAGTAGGCGTGACATCGGTATAGCTAACACGATCCCGCCTCCCAGCAGGTGTGGCATCTTCAAAACACAAACGTCGCCTTGAGTTAAAACTCTCAAGTCGTGGGGGCCGCCCTCCCTAGCACATAGCTAACGCCTAATATTCAGCCAACAACTTACGCTTAACATGCACCCAAGCTCATGCCCATCTCGCGGTCCAACATCTTAACACATACAGCTCACATTTACGACATACATATTAGCACACTCAGCAATAGGCTAGTGGGAAAATCTCAAACAACTTGAGAGCTCTAACTCAAGACATCGAACACTAAACAAAGAAGCAAAGACGATGGTCGCACAAGGGGCAAACCGCATCGTTCAGACTCGCGAGGGTCCAATCCACTCGGGGGCGTCCATCACCGGGGGGCATCCTGTCACCCGGAGGCGTCCATCACTAGGAGGCGTCTCGTCCACCGAGAGGCGTCCATCACCAAGGGCATCCATCTCCAAGCAATGGTCCGCACAAGGGGCAAAATCACATCGTGCGGACTCGCAAGTAAGGCAAGTTAATACACCTTAACGCGTTATTTTACTCCTTCCATTCTTACAGAATACAAGAAGCAAAGGGGCAAATGTTGGGTCTAGCATTAACCCGCCTAATACGGGCCCAAGCCCACCACAAATCGTCTCACCTTGGGTCTAAGCCCATTCTAGGATCCAGTACACCGGGAGGCGTCCAGTCCACCCGAGGGCGTCCTTTGCCCGAAGGCGTCCATCACCGGGAGGTGTCCAGTCTACCGGGGGCGTCCATTACAACGGGAGGCACCCACCAGACTCTTATATAAGGTGGCCAGACCCTCCAAGCAAAGAGACTTCTCTCCCTTCTCACACTTTACCACTTATGGTTCTCTCTCTAAACCCTATCTCTCTCTACATTTCTCTCTACACTATCACATATCCTCTTCTAACTTGAGCGTTGGAGTGTAGATCACGAGGGCCACCCCCGACTCTTCACAGGATTCTTCCACTCCCGAGGAGATCAGACGAGGGAGTTCGGATCAAGGTTCCACACTAATCACCCGGTACTAATCCGGATTAAACAGATAGTAGTAGCACAACTTCAACATGCATATGAGCCACTTCTTCATCATGTGTTCATACTATCATTTCGATGGATTTAAGACCCTTCCAAAACTAAACAAAGAACCCCCACCCCCACCCCCATAATATATTTCTCTTGTAATGACACCAGAATTAATCATTACAATTTTTTAGTTTAGCCTAAATCTCTTATTTTTTTCTGTTCACATCACCACCGATGATTTTGATTGATTAACTTAATAAAAGATTCCGCTTTGATTTTGAAGTACATAACAAAGAGTCCCAATCGTGTCGGAGGAGAAAAAAATTGAAGCAGCGGACTAAATGGATTAATTAGTCGGTGGTCCTCTCCAGTCTCCAGGTTTGTGTCTTCTCTGCATAATCTCGAATCTAGAGATAATCCATACATTAATTAATACGGATCTTGATTACTATTTTATTTAGTGAAGATAAGTGAGAGACGTGAGACATTTAGACTGGAAGAGGAAAAAGGACCATTAATTAATTAAGAGCCACAAATGACAAAACCATAAAATTTTCGAAACTTCCAAAATGCAAAAGCATGGCCGTGTCGTCTTACGTGGATGATCAGATCAGATGAACCCTCCCTCGTGTTCCACTCCATTAGTTACTAATATACCAATCCTAGCCACAAAAGAGATATTTTAATCTGTTGCCTCTTTAAAAAAGACTAACTTTTAGTTTTCTTGCTATTTCTCGTCAAGTTTAGACTAACTCCAATTCTAGCATGAAAATTTGGCATTTTGAAAACTAACATACGGTTTGGTATAAGTGGTGTGACCAAAATTTAAACTAACTGGGGTCTTTAAAAAATTAGCAATACTATAATTTTTATATCTAATAAGTTTTGGGTTGATTGGCGTCCTAGTTATCGCATGTATCAACGAAACCTGTTTATCTAATGAATTTTTCTTCCAAAATTTTGCCAAGTGGGGTCCCAGGACCCCTCTCCTCGTGCCTTCCCTCCGCCGCTGCTTGGTATAAATGAATTCAATAAGTTTTGAGGAATTCATTTTAAAATGAAAAGTTTTTGTGTTTGGTAGAATTCATTTTAAATTCTAAATTTTGAATTTTACGGAATTCGAACTAATTATAGCAATTCCGAGAAATTGAGATAGAAATTTCCAAATGAATTCCAGAGTATTTACTAATTATACTAAAATGACATAATTGTCCAAATTTATTAACTAAATTACTTCTTTATATATTATTTTATGCAAACTCATGCATTACGAGGAACATCGACAATAATTTGATTGCAATAATGCTAGTAGCATATGCTGGTTATTTTATATTTCCACTTCGATTGTATCAGTATGTTGAGAAGCACAACTAGAGTGTAGGGTTCATCGACGAAATATGACAAATGAATACGCCATACCAAACACACATGAACATTTTTTATATTCTACTTATGGGACCAAATGAAATTTTTAGAATATGAATTTTCAATGAATATTATTTCTGGTGGAAATTAATAAGGGTGCAGTCAGACATGGTTTAGGATTTCAATTAATTTTATTTCTAAAGATTAAAATATGACATATCAAACATATGAATTCATTTGACAATAAATTTTACACGAAGATTCATTTTAAAATGAAATAATTTTTTCGATTCATTTCGTACCAAACGGGCCGTAAAAGTTTATCTCCAAAACTATTTTCCGCTCCAACACGGTATTCATTTTTGGCAAAATACACTTCTATATCCATAACTTTCATGTTTGTGACAAATATATCCATAACTATCGAAATACACAAAATACCCAAAAAATTGTACTATCGTGTGACAAATCTATCCATTTCCGTTACAAACTATAACGCCGTTTGTTACGGCGTCAGTAAATAGGACGGAATAGTGAGTAGGACCATAATCTTCTGCCACCTAAGATCCAGGTCAGCAAATTTTTCCACGTGGACGCCATGTCAGCAAATTTCCCCCCTTTATACCCTACACCGTCGAGAAAATTTTTTCCAACCCACCCCCTTTTCTCAAACTCGATTTACGATTTAGGGTTCCATCGGCTGCGCTGGAGAAGAGTTTGCCCGCCGCCGATCCAACGGTTCCCTCCGACAGCAGCCTCACCGCGCCCCTAGCCGCGTCCTTGGCGGCGCCTCCACGCTACGATCTAGGGTTTCACATTCACCTGTCTAATCGGCTGCGGTGGAGAAGAGGTTGCTGCCCGCCGCCGATCCAAGGGTTCCCTCCGACAGCAGGCCTCACCGCGCCCCTGGCGGCGCCTCCACGCTACAGCTAGCCTTCTCAATTTCCAGCGTCACAAAGGGTTGGGTTGGAGATGTCAAAGCGGGTCTCTTCCTCTGCGACAAGCATCAGTGGTGATGGCCTCATTCGCTGCAAGCACAACATTCCCGCCGTGGTCAAAACATCTGGTACTAATGATAACCCAGGCCGACGCTTCTATGGATGTCCATATTGGAAGGTAAGGGTGAATGATAGTAACGAAGAATGTTGTTGTTTGAGGAGTTGTTTGTTAATTGGATGGTTGTCATTGGGCAGGATGTGAAGAAGAACTGTCGCTTTTTTAGGTGGGCGGAGAAGAATGATGATGTTTGCGAGGACACAAATATTGAGAGGTTAATACTGCAACTAGAAGAGAGTTTGAGCATTGCTGAGTCTAAAGCAGAGAGGAGGAAGAAGGAGAAGAAGAGGATAGTTGAAGAAGGAAGGAAAGTGAATGAAGAACTCCGTGCAATTCGGTTTATGTTAACCGTTATTGTTGTATTGAATGCCTTCGTTCTTTTTGTTGTGTGGAGCCATCAATTTGTGATTTAGAAGTAGTATGGTTTAGATAAGTGGTCATGATGTTTGTTGTAGAATTGTTGAACAATATAACTGTAATGCTATCTTCAATTTGGTCTTCTTAAGTAGTTTGATCAAGAACAATATAATTCCAGAATGTTGTTTAATGTCCAGAATGTTGGAAATGAAGTGGTAGTTTCAATAACTAACATCAAGAACCATTCCTGATTACTACAAAAGGATTACATCATAACCATTCCTAGATTACAAGATGTTTTAGAACATAACCATCTTAACAAAAGGATTACATCATAACCATTCCTAGATTACAATATGTTTTAGAACATAACAATCCTAACAAAGTGCCCCATTATAGAACATAACCATCATAACAACGTGCCCCATTAGTTACAAAACCATCCTAACAAAGTGCCCCATTAGTTACATTAGTCGATTTCAAAATTACATGGGGGCTGACAAAATTAAATCGACTCAATATGCCTCCGTCTAAGGTTGTGTGACAGGTGGCTGACTTCCTTGGACATCCACCACTGTTGGCTGACTTCCACCCACTGGACGACCATTTGCTCCGTTCAGCTGGAAGAACAAATATGTAATCAACAACATAAACAACCATTTAAAAGCATCAAATGACTATAAACCACTAATCTTACCCTAACATATGTATTTCCAGTGGTCTCATTCACATATACACCGATTCCAGCTGTTGCAACTCGCATCTCGCGTGCAATTGTCCTTCGATCACCAACATTTAATCTCACATGCTACATAATGCATCCAATCATTAACACATTCTTCATAACAAGTTCAATTCGATTCATACACAATCTTATATACCTAAGCCCCTTCCAACTCGCATCTCGCGTGCAATTGTCCTCCGCATCTGGCAACAGGTCACGTAGAGCATCAACTAATCCCTAACACATAAGATAATTGTATAAGAAGTTAGTAATTTCAAGTTTGTATTAAGTCAGATAATAGCAACTCGCATACTCTTACCTTTTGTTGATCGGATATGACAGACCAGCCCCTTCCATCGCGCATGTCAAGTTCCTGCGACAAGATGTTCACAAACCACCTCCATGAATTTGAATTTTCACCCTCCACAACTGCCCAAGCAATTGGGAACATTTGATTGTTCCCATCCTTCCCTACAGCAGTAAGCAACATCCCTTTCACCTCTCCCTTCAAAAAGCATCCATCCAAGCCAAACATCGGGCGACAAGCTAAAAGAAATCCGTCTCGTAGGACTGAGAACCCAACATACAACCTCTGGAAGAATACCTTCTCCTGTGTAGGGTGCGGTTCAACCTCCAAAACAAATTTCCCCTCTCGATCCCGCTTAATCAATTCAGCAATATAACTCCTTATACCATGATACTCATCCACTAAAGAACCACTTAACATTTTAACTGCTTCCACCTTAGCCCGGTAACATGTTCTCTTTTTCACCTCCATATTGTGCTTCAACCTGATTTCTGCCATAATCTGATCAGGACTCCACTCTGGATTGATTCTAAATCGATCCAGCATATCAGATGCAATCCACTTGGCCGTAACTTGATTTACACGTAGGTTGCGATTACAAGAGTGCAGCTGTCTAACCTTCCTAACCATGAAGATGTGATTCCTCCTAAACCAGCTCGCATAAACCTTCCATTTGCACCTCTGATCCTTGCATACAACCTCTTTTCTATCCTTCTCACTCCTTTTCCATCTCAAGCATGCCCCTGCGGCTACGGAATGCAGTACAACAGCATTCTTAAACTGATCCACACTGTCGAACTTGAGACGAGGAGTGAACTGGAATTGTTTATGATCACACTGAGGATCGTAACGTGGTGCATCAGCGAATGGCTCAGCATCACCATCGTCAGACAGATTGCCCCTCACATGATCAGAATCTTCTGACAGTCTATAGCTGGAATGCTGAGAAGTCTCCCTTCTTTCCTCCTGGGCATGAGGAGCTTCAACAGACTCTGCTGGTTGCTCAGTTCTGGCAGCGCCTTCACCATGTAATTCACCATCAATCTGAACTTGAGGAGCAATCTCCTCATCAGTTTCATCCTCTGATTCCTCTTCAAACTCATCCATTTGATCAACCTCTTCCCCGTGACAATCAACCATTGCCTTAACTTTCCTTTTCCTCATCTCGCCATAAGCTCGTAGATTAGACCTTGCCTCATGGTACTCGTCGCCCGACGTATCTGCATCATCGGAGTCATACACATGTACCAGGTCACGAGCAACGGAAGCAGCCCCATCCTCTGCTGGCCAGCTAGCATCCGAGTCTGCTGGTTGGTTTGGATCATGCTCCCCTACCAGCTCCTCCCACGAATCAGCCATCTGGAGAGTGCTGACCTTCAAATTTCAGGGGCAAATCAGAGACACAAGAGAGGGAAGTGGTCCCTGTTCGAATCTGCTCTGTCGCTTTCCAACCTTTAAAGCAAGCTTCGACAATTGAAAGCCACAACACAATAAGCCAAATAAGAACCTTTTGCCCACAATTGAAAGCCACAACCCAAGTAATTGAAGGGTACCCAGTGCTCACCAGCTTCCAAAACCGAAGAGAAAAGAAATCGATTGCTGGTTGCGATTAGGGTTTTCGGAAAAACCCTTTCTCGGCGGTCCTAGGCTTCGACGGTGCGTTTGCCATGAACAGGACGCTTGGGTTTCGTCGGGAAACGGCCGTCGTCGGTCTATTACCTCGGAAGATGCATGCACGACAACATTTGGAAAAGGCGGCGACGGAGGCGGATGGAACGAAATAGGGCGGGACCTTCAAATTTCTGGGTAGTAAGGCCGCCGATAGGTGATGTGAATTTTGAGGATAACTCGGCGACCTTCGAAATAGGGAGGGAATGATGGGAAGAAGAAACCTTCGTCGACCGTCGTGGTCGGAGGGAAGAAAGGGAAGAAAGGGAGATGAAGGGGCGAAGGGAAATTTTGGAGAAGAAAGTGAATCAGTGGGGATTAGTGGGGGTGCTAAAACGCAATATCGTTTTTTTCCTTCCTCGTTTTTTTTTCCACGTGGATTAGTGGGGATGCTAAAACGCCAACTCAGCCTTCCCGTCAGTACAGTCACCCAGTTACTTCACGCCGTTAAATGGAAGATCGAAATTGGGTATTTTGTGTATTTCGATAGTTATGGATATATTTGTCACAAACGTGAAAGTTATGGATATAGAAGTGTATTTTGCCTTCTTTTTTCCATCACAAATGAAGTGTGAATCGAGCAACAGGGTACCAAAAGATGATAAACTTTGCAATGATATGGTGTTGTGGACCATACCGGACGACGTGCTCTCGAAGGTTCCCCCAGCTAACTACTCGCCTACTCTCAGTGTAGAGTATCCCAATCTTATCCTACTCCACCGTCAAGCAATCATTTTATAGTGATTCACTTTGATGAGTCATTTTTAAACGATTCTTAGCTAACAATTTAGGGCATGTTTACTTTCATTTCTGTTTCCTGTTTTTGAGAAAACAGAAGTTGAAAACAGGTGAAAACAATATTTTGTCGTTTTCGAAAACAGCAGGAAGTTGCCACTTTCTGTTTTCATAGTTGGAAACGAATAGAAAACAGAATGAAAAGTAAACAAGTTTTCTCATTTCGGTTGCCAAATTTATCACATGAAAACAGAAAACAGGAAACGAAAATGGAAGTGAACAGGGCCTTATGGTGTTGTGATGGCGAGTTGATACTTTCCTATGTTCTTCTATTCTATTGAAATATAAACGAATGCATTTTTTGAATGATTTAAATTAGTATAAGAATATGATTTTCAATGTGCAGTCCGGTCAAAATTCCAGGTGTTATTCCAAGCTTTATCTCAAGACGCTTTGAGCTGGCCTTGGAGAGTTGGAGTCTGGATAGGTGACACGCCTCTACCGTCACACTAGAAAGTGGCCAAGAGTAACCACCTACTAATGTGTAGTATAGCGGTTTCAGTTCTAGATGTCAACCCGGGTCCTAGATTTGATGACTACTCTGTGAAAATCTTATTATTTAGCGGTTCAAGTGTAGTGAAGGTTTAACTAAACTAGCAAGCAAAAGCTGTGAAAGTTGTAGTGAAGGTTTAACTAAACTGTAGTTAAGCCAGGTTGTAATTTACCAAGTTCAAGTTCAATGATAGTTATACCGCGGGAGGTTCTTAAACAGTCTGCAGTCTCGACTAAAGGTCTCCAGACCCTCTCAATCTGAGTCCCCAGCGGGCGACTAACCTCCACCGGAGTAAACAGATTGAGGCCCTAACGAACCAAACCTCCTCTACCGGAGTAAATCCAGTACAGAATAGTGAATTGACTCCTCGACTAAAGTCGTCAATTCACTACCTTCAATCAAGGGTGCTCTATCAACCTAGGCAGATACTCTCTTTCTAAGTCAAAGCAGAAATAACATGAATTTGATCAGGATTCATGTCATTCAGGAAATCAAACCTCAATTGAATATAATCAACATCAATGAATTCGTACTTGGGTTCATACAATCAGACCTAACATACAAATCTAGGGTTCTTCATACCCAGGTGAGTGAGAGAGTTTACTCCATAGAGAGAGAAGGGAAATCTAGCTCAGATGCGGAAACCATGTTGTGAAGGATGGGATTCTGCTTCAGGCAATCAATCGGCACTTCTCCAACCTTAAGCCGAGCTCCAATGGTGATGAAGATCAATCTAGGGCGCTTAGAGAATCTAGTTCGTCACTCTCTCTCTAGGTATCAGCTTTCTATCTCTAAAACTCGAAACCCTTCAAAAATTGGTCTTCTTTCCCTTAAAAATCAACAGGTCGCTATCCTCGGCCATAATACCTGGTCGGGTATTTCAGGTGCCCGGCCGGGTATTTTTAAACGCTGCGCAGTGGTCAAAAGGGAAATGCCCGATCAAGGTTCAGGATACCCGATCGGGTATTTTAGCCATTCGGCCGGGACCCCTTCTGGAACTCTGGCATCCAAAACACGAAATCCCCGGCCTCTCTTTGCATTTTACCCGGCCGGGTATTTTAACTCATGGCCGGGTATTTTCTTTTACAGCGGCCCTTCACTCCAGTGTCCTCCTTTTTTACTCGAAACTCGTTTCCTTACCTTCACGTCAACGTGCATGAGCTGCTTGAAAATCACCCAGTAGGCGCTAAGCACAGCTGATTACCTCAGTAGCCTCAAGCTTGCGCCTTTCAAACACAAACTTATTTCTGCGATACCATACAACCCAAGCCAAGAAGGATCCTCCTGCTGGGAATTAGATTCTACTCTTTGTCTCCCCTCTTCACAGAAAATGGAAAGATGAATTGATCGATTCATCGGATCCTAGGTCGGAACTGACGGGGTGAGAGAAGGTTCTCGAACCGGGTTCCGCCCGGGGAGCCAACGAGTGAAGTAGAAGAGCGTAACGAGTCTAAGGGCGGGATCAAGCTTGAAAGGAATGGATGGGCGTAGGCAACATAGTGAACGCAGACCCCCTGCTTATAGATATGAGATCAACAATGACTTTAAAAAAAAGACAGATAGATGTCGAGATAAATGTTGCCAGCGCTTTCCGGGGCCGGGCCAGAATTCTCCCTAAAAATGGAAAGCCCGAAGGGTGCTATCCCAATAGGCCGGCGGGCGGAACGAGTAAACACACAACCTAGCGTGAAATCGACTTAAAACACGAGAATCGACTCTCAAACGGTTCAAGAATGGAGGTATAAACATGTGCGATCAATTGTCTATCAATAAGATCAATGGTAAATCTTGGAATAAAAGCCCAAGACTATTGATAGGAAGTTTGACACCAAAAACTTATCGGAACGCTCCTTGACAAGTTCTTCTCTATCAGATAACTGAATCGGTATTCTAGATCTAACTTCATATTACCTTTGACGGTGTAACCTTCTCTTCTTCCTTTTTCGACAGCGAAATAAAAGTGAAACTTACTGGTATGTAAACAACGTGAGTTTTGCTTCTCTTAGGAACCCGTTACCAGCCGCAATCACACTAGTGACACTATCCATCTCTAACTGTCATTTTGCTTCTGGTATGTAGTCAACACAGATTGTTTTTTTTTTTTTTTTCCAACTGGTTTGTACTGCTGTTAAACGTAACGAATAGCTGAAGAATTGAAGATTAATCAAACGGGAACAAATAACCAAAGAGAGCTACTAATGAAACATACATTGTGAACCGCAAGACGAAGATCGAGGGGATGAGACGGCCAGCATCCCAAGGCAAAGCACATCACGGCAGCTCAATTGGATGTATTAGGAAGATGCTGCAAAATTGGTCCCTTCGACACTGCTACCTATCCGCCGCATGCAATTTCTCAACCGGGTCCAAGCAAAACGAAAGTGACCCTTCGCAGGCGTGCATAATAGTCTCCTCTCCTGCAGCTCACCTATCGTGCTGATCCCATCGAAATCGATCTGTCATTCTCATCAACTTCTACGATGCCGATAAGCACTGCTCGTGATGATGGTGGCACGACAGACAGATAAGACGCATCGTCGACATGTAATCTTCATGTTCGTCAGTTGGTAAGTTAAGTCGAACGTCAAGTTTAACGATCAACAGCAAACAAACCCAGACCACTTTCGTCGCAAAATTTGAAAAATATAGTTCTCAAGTGTCAAATGCAAGCCAAATGGAAGTATGGCCCCAAAGACTTATCACGCACTGTAAGCCCAACGGCAGTTCAGGCCTCTCACAAGGGGGGATAAAAGAACGGGAGGGAGCAGTTTGATGAACGACTAACTACAAACTTCATCACAACATCAAGCAAAAATTAGAACCCAACAGCTACCAAATGAACAATGGTGTTCGACGGCAGCCTTTCCATCCACAGATATCGTAACTACCAGGGAACTCGCCTTAAACAAAGAGAGATAAATAATGGAACAAGTGAAGTCGCACTACGTTAGAACTTACCATGACCAAATGTATTTATCAACCTCGCACAGTCTCATTTCCTGGTTTTATCCAGAACCTCAATGTATCTCTTTGGAATGGCATAGTGCTCAACCAGAAGCCGCGCCACGTCATCAATTTTACCACCTTGGATCAGAACTTCAAGCCCTTTCTTCCCTGAAACCCCAACAGGAGAAGATTAGTCACACTGATTTAGCGTACCGAACATGAAAGAGACGTGTCCAAGTAAAATGAAACATACCTGGGAGCTCCCCAACTGATGTACTGCAAGCAAACTTCTTCTGTAGTTCGGATGCTAGAGTATCCGCATCGATCAAGAATGATTCCACACCCGAGAGCTTTGTCACCTTCTTGTTACCTGACCGCCGCTCTGTCACTATCTGTACGGTTTTCAGGGCGCCTTTGCGAACCACGGACTCGCCCCCTCTAATCACCATATGGTGCGGCTGCATCCTGCCAACAAACGTCGATCCCAGATCTTTCTTGTGAATCACAGTGGGATATGTCGATCCTTTCTTGATGGCACCCTTGAACAGAGCATCGCATAATGCTGGATCCAAGACCACGGTCGACTTGTCTGTTGGCTTCACCAGATTTTCTTTCTCGACGTACTGGAAAACGACATCAGAGGCTTCTGAAGCGCTGTAGAGCTTCCCTGTATCAGCTCCAACAGCAGAGAAAATCGGGTTCACATGAGAACTCGATTTATATATCTCCACCACTTCAAGCGTCTTCTGTGACTGGCCGCCTCCACTGCTTGCTGGTTCCCCAGGGTGTTGTTCGGTTTTCTGTTCCTGCTTCTTTTCCGGCCTGAAGGATGTGTACTCAGGGTGATTCCGGTTGACAGAAACTAAAACTGTTTCCTTCTTGTGTTTATCTTCCTTCACTGTAATCTGTTAATGAGAGAAAGCACTATTTTGATGAGCCATTCCCGCTAATAGAACATCATGGTAGCTGTTAGCAAGATATCATGCTACACATCGATGACTTTATTCAACAAAGATAGACACTTTAATTAAAAGGTTCCCACACAAATCTCAAGGTCACTCTTTGAAGCTGCTAGGTTCAAAGAACCAAATTGAGTGGGCTGTAGGGAATCAGAATAGATCAATTATGCTTCCAGCATCAAAGATCTCCGTGTTCCTTTACCTACCTACATAGTATGCCTACCCACAATCAATTAAGTTAGTTTTAATCTGTCCATAAAAGCCCTGACGATTGATACACAGATTCAAGCTCAATGGTTAAGTTAAATTTATTCATGTAACCATGTAATGTAGGTGTGGTGGCCGGTGGGAAGATGATAGAGAAACATACCAATTTCTCAGAAGACTTAGCTAGCAACCACTTCGATAACTTCTTGTGGGTTGATTTCTTGATATCCAGTGTGATACCAGAAGGTCTGCAAGGCAAAACGTGGTTTGACCTACATGGATAAAAATAACAAGAGTGAAAGGTGTCAACTGTCGCATAGTAAAGTTTCATCTACCCAGGAAATTTATCACGAAGGCCACAACATGTTCTAATGGCTAATGGGAAGAAGAGTCAAGCATCATATTGACCTAGCAACAGTCGGGCCGTAATCGAGTAGACACAAGTAATCCAAACTACCAAGAACGACAGCAACAATATAACAGAACTCATGCTCATGCAAACATTAAGTTCTTCGGTATAAAATATCTACCCAAACCTCATTAGCCCCCCACCCCACCCACCCACAAAGAAAAAATTGAACCACGCCATTCTATTAGCAAAGATGACACAAGCTGTGGAACCCGCTCTGAGAAGCAAATAACTAATGAAGGCTATATGATAGTAAATAATACATTACCATCTGAATTCTGAAGAAATAAAACCCCAAGAGAATCATCACTTAGTTTCTCATTTACCACTACCATATCTAAGCAAGGACATTATGATGAGGTTCAGAAGAAGCTAATGAGCACAATTGACAGAGCGTGCTTATGGTCCAAGGCTGGACATGTTGGAGCCCATAGATGATCAAGATGTTCAACTTCAGTTAATCAATTTCTTCTGCTTTTACTAGGGTAAAACAATTAATCATTTTCAAGAACACCTCAGATATTACCATAAAGTGCTTCCAGGCATTGGTAGATCCTTGTCTTTAACAGTCGTATGGAGCGCTTGCAGAAGACACTTGTCCAACAAATTATCCACTTCCTCAGCGGATAAGGTATGTTGTTGTTCCTCGGCAGCTGATCCATCACCACCATTATCTGAAACAATTAAGTTACTGACATCTACATTTATTTGTTCGACTTGACTGTTGGAAGCTTCAGTCGATGATGAAGGATTTGGATCCAGTGTGGCATTTCCTTCAGCCAATTCCCCAACATTGTCAGTTCTATTGCCATCCTCTTCACCAATAGCTGGATGATGATCAAGACCTTCAGCTGAATCAGAACCTTGGGCCACTACCAAGGCAGCTGGATCCTCAACCACAATATCATCCAAGAAACCTGCATTGGGTACAAAATGGCCGTCCACTGACTCCCTGCAGGCAGTTCCACATTTCATGTCAAAGACAGGATTTCCCAGATAAATCTCTGAAAGAGTTTGCAGCATAATTACCAGAGTGAGTCCCTATAATAGTGTGTTATTCTTAAAGCCTTCCCTCGCAAACCAGCTTTCATTGCTTCAGCACTGCTCATAGTAGTTGACCCAACCTGGAAAAGTTAAAAGTTATGTTTTTTATGGAACTACCAACAAGAGTAGTCATTCTCCATAGAAAAGATCATAAACAACAAGTTGAAAGCAACCTAACCATATGGAAACAAAAACAAAAAACAAAAAACAAAAAACTTACAGCAATAGGTGCAGGATTCCCAGGAACTTTCACAGACCATACTTCACCAACTCTAAAAGAAGGTAGGCCTTCAGCAGGTACACTAATGCCAGGGAACATTAAATCAGCCCCTCCAAGCATGTATCGAGAAACCTCACCTCCCTTCAACAGAAAAGAAGGCAAGAGTTCAGGTACTCTCCAGAGTGCAAAAACTGCATGAAGACACAACACACAAGTGAAAATCAATCTCCCTACCATAAACAAGTGAACCAAAATGAGTTATGCACTTTGGAGAGTTCATAGAACCCCAACCCTTTGAAAGGGGCATAACAGGGCAAAAATATACTTCTGATAGACTTTTTACTGGTTCTTCTCTTTTCACTTGATACTGTCATAGCTTGTAGGCAAACGGATATCTAAACATATCGAACCCTGAAGAGATCCTTCCCCACAATTACCTTCAAATCCCACTCTATCCTTCCCCACAATTACCTTCGAATCCCACTCTTTTATCACTAACGTCTAACGCACATATCCCCTACAATACTAGAGCCAACAAATGCAAGAAAACTTCCAGCTTACAAACTGGTTGATGCAGCATTTCCCTACCAACTAAAACTACAGGCTCAGAGTTGTCCACATTTCCGGTTCATAGTAGGGGGGAAATGGTGGCTAACAAAGATAAAAGGTAGAAGCACCAACCTGTAGGATAGAGCTCAGTACCCCTGCCATCGATGTCGAAAAACATAGGGAAATCACCTTCGACACTATAAACCAGGACCCGATTTTGAAACTTCGCAACTGCTATCTCTACCTGAAACGCAACTCTCATCAAATAAACCATCAATTACTTAAGCACACTTTCATTACGATCAGACAATCATGAGAATAACCAACGATTCTTCGTACAAAAAAGGGGGAAGGGACCAGGTGAAAGAGAGCTCACCTTGGGAGGGAATAAGACGTCCATATCGGCATCAGAAGCCCGCGGGAACTTGTCTCTGAGGGTTCGTTTGAGCTTCTTCCGGTCAGCGCCGGATAGCCTCTGATGCGATTTCGCTTCCACTGCTTTCTTAAACATTGTCCTCTTGCTCCTAGCTGAAAACTGGATTGACCGTTGATAGGTCGGAGAGGAGTACGAGTTTTGTTTTTGAAGAGAATCGGAAGGAAGAATCTGGAGCGGCCGGGAACGTTGGCGGTGGCGGTGGCGGTCGCTTAACGTAATAAAAAAAAATCTCCTGTAATTCTCTTCTTTATTTTATGATTTTTTTTTATGGGACTCATGTGGCCTCAGGCCCAATTCGACAATCTGCCTCTAACATTGGCCAGGAGAAACGAAGGAGGGGCCTCGGCCCAGAGATAACAAGAGTTCCAAAGTGGATCCCAGTGAACATGCGCCATCTTCTTGTTATTTTCGCCAGAGGCAAAAGCTGTCCCTAATAATTTTTATTTTTTCAACGGGTATCGGTATGCGAGATGGGAAACCACAAGATACGACAAAATAGTAAAATACACAAGATCTTTGCAGGTCGAATTACAAAGAAAAATTAAGAAAGAGTCGTTGATGGACTAATCAACGATCCAATACTGAGAGGGGTTTTTTTTTTGGCAACAAGATGTACATCTCTATTATACTAACATTGTGCGAAGTGAAACGAGGCAAGCTGCAAAATAGCCAAAACTAACGCGAACCCGCCCAAGACTCGGGCGGATAGCAAGGCTAAGAAACGCGAATTCGTCAGCGGATCCGCTAGGTTATTATCTGCTTTTCTCGTCTTCAACCTCCCACCAACCTCCAGACGACGACCCAAACCAGAAAAACCATTTCCCTTATCTCACGTGGATCCGTAGAATTCAATACCGATTTCTCTCTTATTTCACGCGAATCTGTCGCATTCAGCCTTGATTCCTCCCTTTTCTCAAGCGATTTCGTAGCAGCTTCCCCCTCCCTTCTATTTCCCTAGCGTGGACCCGCCCAACCCAGCAGATCTGATGGCCGGCCGCTGAGAGGAAGGCAGAAGAAGAAGGGGTCGTGGAAGAGGGCGGCAAACAAGCGTCGTGGTAGCGACTGGTACCGAGGTAAGAAACTCGGCGACGGCGGCCGGAATCTCACCGACAGTGAGTTTTTTTTTTCTTCGCTTCCTAGGATTATAGACACTTATTCCACGAGGCGACCACCTACGACAATTGATCCAGCTCCAGTCGATTCGGTACTTCTTTGGGCACATGGTCAACATCGTGCCAACTTAGTTTGGCAAAACGAGGTAAGTATTTCATTAAAGTTCATTAGCTAGTTAGATTAGATGTTTAGATTTTTACTAGTTGAACTGAAATTAGAATTACGTATGGAATTTTTTGAAATTAGTATAAGTTTATATTAGATAGATGTTTAATTAGATAGATTTTACTAGGTGAATTGAAATTAGAATTACGCATAAAATTGAATTAATATAATTTCTGTGCACTATAGGCTAGTGATCGAGTTTACGAGATTCGAGGTACGACCCATATAGTCGCGTACCATCCACATTATTATACGTACCTCATGGAGGGCGGCTTGTTTAGTGTTCAAAGGTTAGTCCCTATGACTGTTGATCCATGTTTGATCACTGCGCTCGTAGACCATTGGTGACCCGAGACATCAACCTTCCACTTGTCGTTAGGTGAGGTTACGATCACTCCAGAGGACGGTGCGACACTGACCGGTCTACCGATCGACGGTGATCCCTTCATAGTAGACATACCAGATGAAAAGGGGTTGGGGATGTGTATGAGATTGTTAGAATGAATTTTCCATTTAAATGAGTTTACCACAAATAATGAAGAGAAAACGAATGAGGAGCACGTTGGTCATTAATAAAAATTGGGGGAAAGGGAGGGGGGGGATCAGCCGTCCTTTTTGCATTAAATGTGGGGAAGAGAGGGGGACCACGTAAGTAGGCCAAAAACTTCACAAAGTAGGTCAGAACCTCAAAGTAGGCCAGAACTTCAAAATAGGCTAGAACCTCCACAAAGTAGGCCAGAACCTCCTCATAGTAGGCCAGAACCTCAAAGTAGGTTGTATGCAAGAAGTTTTACAAAGCAGGCCAGAAGTTTCTTAGAAATAGACCTGTTTGTAAATTTTGAAAAGTTTAGGTACCAAAATGTGAGAAATAAAATTTTCTTGGACTGAAATGTAATTTGCCATCGATTTTTTAGGATTAAAATGTAAAAAAATTTATTTTAGGTACTAAATATTAATATCAATTAAGTTCACGTACCAAAACTATAATTTGTAAATGAATCATAAAAAGCAACGTCAATGGAAGGGGAGGAGAAAGAGAAGGAAAAAGGAGAAGGGATAGTTACTATAATACCCTTATGGTAAGTGTTAGTATGTTGCTAACACTTAAGTGGAATATAAACTGGTTGAGGTATGTTGTTAGAGTTGTTGATTCCTCGTAGATCATAGTTGACTGTAGAGGAATTATGTCGAGTGGGTGTAGGTATGGGAGAAATATTTCTACAGGATTGGCTTCTAAGAAAAGTGTTGATGCGTTGTCGAGCATCTTCTGTCATTTCAGGGTCTATATAAGAAACACTAGAGATGAAGTTCCTAGCAAAAGAGATGTTAACAATACTGTCAAGGTGTTGAGTAATTTGATTAACTTGGCGATGGTTGATACTTCTGCGATTGGCGATGGTCAAACATCGAATAATATAAATAAGGTAAATCATTAATAAGACAAAGAGACATGACACTTAAAATGATAATTTCTCAAGATTAGTGTTCCAATTCAACACAAAGTAATACAACTAACTTGCATAAAAACTTATAAAGAAGTTACTCGTAACAATAATGTCGTTATACGAAGATTATTATTTACAAGTACTTAGAGAATATAAATTATTATCGGCTATCATATCTTTTTTGTGGTGTCCCAGTATTTTATTCATTGTAGATCAATCTTAACATTTTATTCATCATATGTTTTGGACTACAAAAGGAAGGATTTGCGAATGCTTGTGAAGAGCTAGGGGTGGGCAACGGGAACTGGGTATTTGGATTGGGTATATCCGTAACGTTTTTTTAGGGTTACGGGTACCCAAATACCCGTAATTTTTTTTACGGGTTGGAACTTGGGATCAAGAATCGCTACTTTGAGTACCCGCAGGTTTACTCGTCAATACCCGTTTGGGTATTACGAGTACCCGTTATACCCATTAGTCCAAAAGCCCAAAACCCAAGCCCACTCCAACACCCCAGCCCGCCTCCTGATGCCCCATTCGATTTCCCAAACGGACAAACCCCCTTCATAACCAAATCCAAAAACTTTAATGCATTGAGAAATGACTAGTTAACCACCATAAAAACTATTCAGAAATCACCTAACTAAGCTAATTGTTGGCAGGACAAAAATCATCAGTCGTTGTGGATAGGCTGTTGAGGCTGAAAAATTTAAGGTCCTGGTGGTGAGTTCTCCTTCAACTGCTACGAATGGAAATCAACAAAGATGTACCTATTAGACGGGTATTTACGAGTAGTATCGATACCCGTTATTCGTTCCATACGAGTAAAGAGTACCCGTTAACACATACAGGTTTGGGACATGGGATGGATATTGCTTTTCAAATGGGACTTGCTACCCGTTTCAAACGGGACGGGTATCCTGTCCCGTCTCATTGCTCACCCCTACGAAGAACAAGGGCAATGAGGATGAATGGAAGAGTTTTTGTCTCTAGGACCACAAACTATGTTGCTCGTCTCCTTACCCATTTACCTACGAGATTAGAATATTTTGTGGATAGAAATCAGGGTCTGGACTTTTTTCAGAAATACCACAAAAAAGAAAAGAAAAAATTCAAAAATACCACCAATTTACGAAAAATTCCAAAAAAATACCACCATTTCTCGAAAACCGCCTGTTGGGCGCGAGATTTTTTATGCAAACCGCATGGGTGGGGGGAAGTTTTGGTGACCGCATGGGTTCAGGGGGGTTTGGTCCAAAACTGCTGTAAGATCTCGAAAAGTTATGCAGAATAAAAAAATATTCGCTACGATCGGATACCGGAGCACAAAGATACGTTCGTTTGAAGTTTCCACCTAGGTTAGTATTGATCGGAATTTTTTTTACCAAACCGCTACCCCATCCAGCGATTTTGGACCAAACCGACCGACCCCATGCGGTTTACATTGAAAACCGCGCCTTCACCATACGATTTTCGAGAAATGGTGGTATTTTTGGAAAATTTCGGAAATGAATGGTATTTATGAAATATTTTTAGTTGTATTTCTCCGGAAATCAGATCATATTAATTTTTGTGTTATATAAAAGTTCAATTCACGGTAGATGATTTAAAATCTAAAATACTAAATTATTCTAACTTTTATGATGGAAACTAGAAAAGTTAGCTAGTCTCGGGCCCGTAAAAGAGAAAGAACTCCACCAAGTCCCAAACATAAGCAAATGGTGATACTAGAATAATGTTGACCACTGTACCCAAAAAAAAAGAACAAGAATTAAGTTTTCATAATTGTCAGCACATAATATTGTTAACTATGTTGACCGCTTGAAGACTTCGTATTCTTTCGGTTCTATTCATTCTTTATATTTGGATGTGAATAAACATCATACTAATTTATATTATATATTATGATAATTCAAAAAAAAAAAAATCTTGCCACATAAGCATTTGGAGGATCCACAATTTGCCAAGTTTGACAACTTTTTTACAAACAAAAAATTAGTTATTAATGTATTTATGGAACTACCTCTCTATTCTTTAATATTTTTATTTCTTTTATCCAATTAATCTTTTTCATTTATCCTTTTTTTTGTCTTTAATAATAAGTTACATGTTGATAAACTTAACCAAACACACATAAATAATAATTTTTTGTTTAATAAATAAAATATAATTCAGAAAACAGAGAGTGACATATATCACATTTGTTTAAATAAAAAATATCTGATTAAACCTTATGAAGTAAATTTTCTACTCATTTTTACTAAAATTGAATGATAAGTTACATTTTGATGAAAAAATTAAACAAACATACACATAAACAATTATGTTTTAATCGATTAAACCAAAATATTTATGAAAAGAGAGAAAATAAATATTTGACATTCAGTTATCTTTGAAAAATAAACTATATTACTTTACATTTTATTGCAATGAAACACTTTTTTATTTGAGGAATTTAAGGTAGAACAAGTATTATTTATCAAAATATCAGAGTATAATCTTGATCGAGTAGTTACAGTTATTTATTTAAAAAAAAATCTTATTCATTCAGATCATGTTCTACCTTAAATTCCTCAAATGAAAAGGAATCGCATGTGCAATTATTTGATAATGTGTCCTAAATTCACATTAATAATATTTGCTCTATCATGTTGAATGAGCAAACTCTATTGAGGTTCTAAGTCGTATGCTAAGAAATTTTCTTTCAAACTTTGAGTTATCGTCGACGATTATAAATCAAAATTTTCAAAATGACTTAAGTATAATTGTTGACGAACTTTGACTTCATACTCTAGGATTTTTTTTTTACAAAAGATAATCATATATTGATAAAAAAAATAGGCAATCACATCCTGGAACACAGCCAGGCCTAGAAATTAAAGAAACGACTCGTAGTCGGGTACAAAGAAAGGGCCTTCCTAGCTACCAAGTGAGCTACCCTATTGTTTCGCCGACCTACAAATCGAACACTAAGTCCTGCATGAGCCACCACCAAATTGCTGACCTCTTCCAGAATGGGTCCCTAGGATAAGACACAAGATTCCTTGAAAAATAATAGATGTGAAGGTTAGAAAAATCTTTATTGAGAATCTACGATAAACATCACGTTTCATCAACTACTAACCTAGGCATTTACCAAATAAAGGTTGACAATTTTTAGTAAGATAGTCAATTGGGATAAACATATGAATCCAACAATCAAGTATCCTTTAACCAATAATCTCATATCTCAAAATTGGTTGCCAGTTCGTCCAAACTCGAGAAACACGAATTGATATATGTTGTATAATATAATAAGTTAATGAAAATAATCAAATGAAATCCACTAATATTGTTCAAATGATAAGACATTTTAAATGTACTTGAAATATGTGTGTATTGGAGACACTTTTTATCAAGTTTTAATATACAAGTGATAAAATCTTTGAAAATTACACATTCAACGACCATGTTAAGACAAAAAATCCTCGATAGTGTGTGTGAGTGCCTTAGATTGAGATTCTAAGCCAACATATAAACAATGACCATTGGTTGAGGTTTAGTATAAACTTCAAGAATTAACAATTGATACATATTGTATAATATACTAAATTTAAATGTATGGATAAAAAAAACATCCAAAATGGAAATGAGTCGAGATTAGAGAATTTAGTCATCATGAGGGCTACGGTGTGTCAAGTTTCAATACGGATGAATAAATCCAATAATGAAGTATCTTTACCAAGAATTTCTCACTAAAAAGTCCTAATCTTTACAACAATGGTCGAGAGTTCGTCCAAACTCGAGAATCATGAATGTGTATTGGATTTCCAAAGGACCTAAAATCCCAATCCCTTTCGGGGGCTAAATACTTCTGATCACAACCATAGGTGCTAAAGTAGAATGAAAAGAAGCCCAAAAAAAAAGCAAAAAAGAACATAACCTCCGATACGATGAACATAATAAAACCATATTGAGCTATGATCATGTCATCCCTAACCTTTTATTCTCCATAAAGGGGGCGGCGGGAGAGAATAAGAAATAAATAGTAGGATCTTAGTATTTGCCTCTTTATATATTACATATAGAAAGATAAATGGTTGTCTAGCGTTCTGGGGGTAAAAGCGAGATCTCTAGATAATTTTGAGTCTAATATATATACACACACATATATACATGTATATCTAATATCAAGGTATACTATACTTTTTATTTTACTCAAAATACGATAGAAGATAGGTATTACGAAGTATGTGCATAAATTAGAAGTTACAGAATTAAGGACTGGAGTTCGCCTATTAGAGGTTAGGGTATAGTATCATTCCCCAAAAAACTCCGATTAATTCGGGTCTAAATAGTAAAACTCAATGATCGTATGGTAGTATGAACGCAAGAGTATAGCGTACTCCTGGCGCACGCTAGCTTGAACTATATATATGTGTGTGTGGTTCAGGTTGGTATACACTAAATATTAGTGTTTTGGTTGACAAATTTTGAAATAATTTCTAAATGGGACGTGACAACAGCATAATTTATGATTAGAAAACCGAAGCATCACAAGTGAGTGTGCTAAATATTGGAAATTTCAATATAGACATACTAAAAACTTTGTTACAAAATATTTAGAAGATCCAAAATGATCTAAACATATAAATTATAAAATAAATCTCTCCAGCCAAGGGCCAGGTAAAGAACTAGTATTAATTATAAACGTATTACAGTAACTATCTCTTCTCATTTATTCTCTCATTCCATTTACATTTCTTTTTTATGTTTCATTTACAAATTATAGTTTTGATACCTGAACTTTATAGATATAAATTAATATTTAGTATCTAAATTAATTTTTTTTACATTTGAGTCCTAAAAATATCAATGGAAAATTGTCAGTAACTGAAAATTTTATTTATTACATTTTGGTACCTAATTTTTTTAAAATTTACAAACAGGTCCACTCCTAAGAAACTTCTAGCCTGCTTGGAAAAACTTCTAGCTACTTTAAGGTTTTGCCCTAGTTGGAGGTTTTGGCTTAATTTGATGAGGTTCTGACATGCTTTGAGTCTGACATATTTTGAGGAGTTTCTGCTTATTTTGGTGGTCCTCATCCTTTCCTCACATTTAATGCAAAAAAGGACGGTTGGTCCCTCGTCCCCTTCCCCATTTTTCATAATATCAAGCGTGCCCCTCCTTCCCCTTCCCCTCATTAATTGTGGTCAACTCGTTTATATGAGAAACTCATCTAAACATAATATTCCTTTTGGCTGGAGTTAATATAGCACCATTCTAACAAAAAAAGTGTTAGCAATAGCATGCTAGTCGTTTCCTTATATTCGCCTGAGAAAAAAACAACATATGAAAATCTATCTCTTCCTTTAGTAGCTAACATGGAAAATAAATATATATTTGATAATAAATATAGAACTAATTATTAACTTTATCTTTTCCAAATTACTACGATGATTATAAAATATATATGAGAAATGACAAAAGAGTCACTCTCACCAACAAACTCGTAATTGAAAATTAATATGTTGAAGTTGAACTCAAGAAACGAGTTTTAAGCAAGTATTTGTAAACAATGAATTTAAGTTTCAAATTATATTTTACTTAAAATCTCTAAGACGGGGTCGTCTCCGCTGGGTCCTTCGTAGTAGACTAGTCACTAGTAGTAGAGACTATAGTCTAGAAAGGCAACAAGTTCCAACACGCGGGAGAGGGTAAAAAACATGATAAATAAAACATATTTGGTTTTAGAGGTGGCAATTCTCAATCCAATCCACCAACCTATTAAAAATATCCATCTAATCCAATCAATTTAAATCCAATTCATTTAATCCAAATCCAATTTGATTGGTGGATTCATAGATTGATCCATGGATAATGGCAAATTACGGTTTGGTACCTATACTTTTTATATTTTACATTTTGGTACCTAAAATTTATTTTATTATGAAAAATATCATTGGAAAATTACGTTTTGGTACCTAAAAATTTTCATTTTGGTACCAACCCCCCCCCCCCCCACCCACCCACCTCCATCGTGCAGCGCAGACCACCCCCAACCGCGGGTCCGCCTTTCACCCACTCTCACGCGGGCCCAACCCGCTTTCCTGCGGAACCGCCTTCGCCGACGTGGAAACAACTGAGTCTCAAGCGGAAGCGCCGGAGGAAGAGGCCGATGAAGAAAACTAGATATGGTTTGGGAGTTTTTGATGCCTGACTCCGACGAAGAACAAGCGGCCGCCGGAAGAAGAGGTCGTGGAAGAGGACGGCAGGCACGCGGTCGATACCGAGGTGAGCGAGTCACCGGTCGGAAGCTCGCCGACGGTTTTTTCTGTTTCTATTTTTTTTTTTTTTTTTGCAGTTCCTAGGCTTCTTGACACTTATTCCACGAGGCCACCATCTACGACGATTGATACAGCTCCGATCGATTTAGTACTTCTTTGGGCACATGGTCAACAACGTGCCGACTCAGTTTGGCAAAACGAGGTAAGCATTTCATTAAAGTTCATTAGCTAGTTAGATTATATTTTTATTAGGTGAACTGAAATATTAGAATTTCAAGTGAAATTTTGTGAAATTAGTATTAGTTTGATTAGATATATTTTACTAAATTATATAGATTTTACTAAGCTAACTGAAATATTAGAATTGTATGTGAAATTTTTTGAAATTAGTATTAGTTTGATTAGATATATGTTACTAAAATAGATAGATTTTACTAGGTGAACTGAAAATAGAATTACACATGAAATTGAATTAATATAAGCTTTGTGCACTATAGGCTGGTGATCGCGTTTACCAAATTCGAGGTACGACCAATTTGGTCACGTACCATCCACGTTATGAGCCGTATCTCCAGGATGCCGGTTTGTTTAGCGTTCAATAGTTGGTCCCTATGCCTGCTGCTATTGATGCATCTTTGATCACTGCTCTAGTAGAGTGTTGGTGTCCTGAGACATCGACCTTCCACATGCCGCTTGGTGAGGTTATGATCACTCTGGAGGATGTTGCCACACTGAGCGGTCTACCGATCGACGTTGAGGTCGTCATAGTAGACATACCAGATCGGAAGTGGTCGGCGATGTGTATCATACTATTAGGACAAGCTCCTACCTATCTTTCCGGCGATGTCGTCAGGATATGTTGGCTTGGGGAGGATTTCAACAATCTGTCGCCAAATGCATCATCAGAGATTACAGGGCAGTTTGCACGAGCTTATGCCCTATCTCTGATGTGGTGTATGTTGTTCCCCGATCGGACTGGAGCTACAGTTCATCTACAGTGTGCACTCATGTTGGAGAATTGGTGGAGCGCTGGATGCTACGCTTGGGGAGCAGCTGTTCTAGCCTACCTGTACCGTGAGATGGGTAGGTCGGTTCTACAGATGACACAGGCCTCTTCCATAGGAGGTGACCTTGGTGGGTGGGTCGCCTTACTGCAGCTCCGGGCGTGGGAGCGATTTCTACTGATAGCACCACGACATACAGTGACGGATGAGCCTATTACAGAGGACGCATAGCCACGTGTGCTCGATGGCTTCCGGCCATGACTCGTCAGCATGGTGACCAGTCCTTCAGTTATAAGTTGTTTTTTGACGAGCTGTCGACAATCGTGGTTAGTAATAACATTTCATACAAGAATAGTTCATAGTTCTCATTAGTTTGTTTTAGATTAATGAGTAACAATGTGACTACTTGTTGTGTGTAGTGGCTGCCTTACTGGGAGAGAGGAGAGAAGTTTAGGGGTACTGTGATCCAGTCAGATACCTTTCGAGCAGTGGTTCCACTGATCTGCTTTTCAGTAGTGATGTGGCACCATCCAGATCGCGTACTCCGAAAGTTTGGCATGATGTAGAATGAGCCTCATCAGCCAGCTCCTAAGGCTGAGATTAGGTATTTCCTTCGCCAGACAGTTCGTGGGCCATCGCGAGGGACAGACATGCACTGTTGTGTGGTACTGACGGTCATCTAGTGGATCCTCGTGGTGGTGGTCGTTGTAGTGGTCATCGTGGTGGTCGTCGTTAGTGCTACTATTATGTATGACTATATATTATTGTGGACTGTTTATCATGTCATGATGTATTATTATGTATTATGGTGGACTATTATTTCATCTCATGATGTATTATTATCTATTATTTTGGACTATTTATCTTACTATTATTGTCATGTATGGTGCCAATGTCTAGAACGAAAACTTGAACTATAGAAGTAACAATATCGCGGGGCATGCCTTCGAAAGTTCCAAAACCCAATTGGCACACTCGATCGTTCAAACTATAACAACATCAACCAATAACAACTACGTCGAAAAATAATAACAACCAACAAATAATAAGACACTCGATCATTCAAACCATAACAACATCAACCAAACTACATACCACGTCTATTACCACTAATTCCTCTTCCACCACCTCTCGCACGTCTACCACTTCCTCTTTGATGGCTCCCACTGCCACTTGCTCCTCCGCCAGAAGTTGATGCATCATGTCCACCTACTTCCTCTCTTGGCCAAGCCATCTCGTTGTGAATTCTTGTTGTTCGTGGCCTCCACGGCTTCCTAATCATGTGCACGTTAGGATGGAGAGTAGAGCCATTGTGCTTCTTCCACCCCTTAGGTTCACCAAGAGGTGTAAAACTTTTACCATAACAAGCCAATACTGTTTCCAGCTTATAGATGTCGTTTACAAACCTATACGGGTTAGCCCCCATTCAGTTGCAAGTTGCAATGGCATGAGAGCAAGGAATTTTATTTTCTTGGAATTTCCCACAAGTGCAAAATCCTGCTCGATTGTGGTCATCGAAATGCACTGTGAGTGTGTTCGAACCCGTCATGTTGAAAATTTTGGGAGGAGTCTGAACTACATAGATGCCCTGACGTCGATCAACCCCGTCAAGGACTGTCCAACTGCCTTTTGTGCCCACGGCTTCATCAGATCTTCACATGGGTTTGTGTACTGTGACTTCCCACTTCTAATTTGTGCTTCTGTCTCCAACCTCATCTTATCGAATTTATCCAATAATCGCCAATAAGTATGTTCCACAAGAGAAGCTACATGAAGTGAACGAATACCTTTGAAAACACCATTGATGCTCTCTGCCATGTTGGTCGTCAGCATAGACCACCGACGCCCACCATTATAGTTATCATGTGCTAAGCTCCAACGAAGTTGATTTTGATCCACCTAGTTATCACAAGAAATATTTCTTTCAGCGGCCATCTTCTTAAATTGCTCAACTTGACGATCGAACTTCTCCAAGCGTTTTTCTTGGGCTAACAAAATTAATAACCACATGAGTTCGATAAATTCATGATAATATTAACTTAAAATAAATAATACGTCAAAAATCAATAACAATAACGATGAAACTTACCGCCTCGAAACAGATGGTTATACATAATTTTGCTTTTTGTCTTCTTTTGCAAGTTGCTTGCATAGTGTCGCATGCACCATCTCCACTCCCAACCTCTTCCGATGTTACTCATGGCTTCATAGAGTCCAGCATGTCTATCTGAGATGATGCAAACATCGTTTCGATCGGTCAAATTTTGAACGTGTCTTATGAACCATGGCCAACTATCAGTATTCTCGCTCTCCGCTATGGCAAATGTAATTGGAAAAATCATCTTCCGACCATCAAATGAGCTCTCCAAGAGTAGCACTCCTTTATACTTTCCGGTAAGAAATGTTCCATCAACAACCATGACTCTTGGACAATCCTTGAATCCATCTATACAAGGTCCATAAGCCCAGAATACTCGTTGGAAGATCAAATGACCTGGTTGAGATGAAGGAACTTTTACCCAAGCAATCACTGATGTTGGCATTTTTCTCTTGACAACCCCCAAGAATATTTGCAAATAATCGTAAGATTCTTCCCAATTTCCATGCAACTTCTCCAATGCTCTTTGTTTCCCATACCAAGTCTTCTTATAAGTAACTTGCATATTAAATTTATCTTTCAACTCGACTTGCACAATTAGAACACTCAGATTTGGTTGGGCACGTACTAAATGTTTCACGGACTCAGATATAACATCGACATCAAGATGGCGATGATCTGTCGGTTGAGTCGTACTGCTACAAGAATGCACCAACTCGGCCTTTCTCACAGTCAATTTTCTTTCAACGTCTCGATATCCAAACCACACCATCCAAGGACAATTGTCATCCTTATGCTTCAAGCATCTAACCTTCCAGATTGAAGGTGACAACTCCACCACGCCATACTGAAAGTTGCGTTGTAGTGCGTAGTGTTTAACCGCCACCAGATGGCACTCTCCATGTCTCATCTTCACCTTGATCAGTCTGTCTAATCTCAGCATGTATCTCAACACCCAAACAATAAGGATTTTGTGCCATAAAATCGAAAAGCACATTCAAACCATCATCATCCACAATAGGCATCACATAATGAAATAGAACATCATTCTGCCAGTCTAGAAGACGGTAAGTGAAACCTGTGATCATATCACTATCTTGTACTGATTCGTCTCTAAGTCATATTCTCGGGATTAGATTTTCAAAAAATTGATGATATGTCACCCGACATGGAACTGTCAACTGAAACCTTCTACCACTAGCGAAATGGACGTCCAAATTGTCCTCTATTTTCTCCGATTTCCACCAAACAATTAGTTCAAATCTCCTAAAATCACTACATAACAAACAAATTCATTGATTACTAACTAAATATAATTATAATAGCATTTTAATAATATAATTACAAAAATAAATATGTCTCTTATCTAGCCATCTTTGCAGCAACCACAGAGCTCATCCTCTAATTTTCGTATTGTTTTTGGTGTGATGAGTATATTGAAAGGAAGAGAATGGAGGATGATATATATATATGCTGGAGTGGGGTAAAAAAGGCTGCGAATCCGCATGAGACTAAAGCGGGTCCGCTGGTCAAAGATAAGAGAATCCTTCAGCGCACTTTAAAAGAGTGCAAAGCGGCATCGCGCCAGTCTCACGTGGGCCCGCTGTTTTTACGTCAAAATACATAACTAGTGGGTCTGCATAAGTCTGATGCGAATTCGTTTTCCTTCCCCACAAAAGCGCAATATTCTTGTCAATTAATTTAAAACCACCATATTGGTGGTAAATAAAATAAAAACAATATTTTGGGAATTTACCCAGATCCCGGGATATCACCATAATTAAGTAGAAACCAAAACTAGGGATGTCAACAAAACCCGAACCCACGGGTACCCACCCGACCCAACCCGGTCAATGCGGGTAAAACCCGTGTTGACGAGTTTTGGGCCGGGTTCGGGTTTAAACGCATTCACTATTCACCGGGTTGGGTTTGAGTTTAAGTAAACCCGCCCCATGGGTACCCGTCCACACTCATATAATTAATTTTCTTGCTATATTTAATATTCTAAACAACTAATCTTATTTATGTTTGTGGAGACATGTCTAATTTTTTATTTCTAATTGTGTAGAATGAAGTTGATGTTATTGATTGGAGAGTGAAGAAACTTAATTGACAAGGAGGAAGAAGCTTTCAATTAATCATGTTATTTATGGATAATTTGTGACTTGCTTCAATTTTCTTGAGTTTTCTAGATTAGTGTTGAACAATTTGTATAGTTAATTTGTGATTTGCTTGAATTTTCTAAAATGGTGTTTTATATATGGATAATTTGTATTGAGAGATTGATATTTCACTTTAATTTTGATAGGAACTTGTTATTGTAAAATTTTTATGAGAAAAACCCGTGGGTACCCATGAACCCACAGATACCCAGCGGTTGGGTTGGTTTTGAGTATTTCAAACCCAGTGGGTTTTACCCCGTTTTTTTCACGGATAAACCCATGAGTTTGGGTTTGGATTTGGCAAATCCCGACCCAACCCAACCCATTTCCATCCCTAACCGAAATCGTATAGGATACATGCATACAGTATCTTGATTATAAAAAAGTGTGTACATTTCGTAAATAGATTTTCTCTCGTCCCTATCGAGAGTCCTTTGAGAGAGCGAGCGGCGACTAGGTTTACAGAAAACTCTAATCTTGTTTCAGCAAGATTTTTCTTCTTCGTGAGATCGAGTGAGAGTTTCTAAGGACAGGTATCCTCTGGTCTCGACCTTTGCTAGTTAGACTCATGCTTGCTAGTTGGAAAGGGAGTGTTCTTTTATACTCTTGAGAGTGCAGGTACCTTGCCTAACAAGAAATATGGCTGAGCAAGTCCATTCGATACCCGTAGAGAAGGATTTAGAAATACAATTAAAAAAGTTCTCGTTGGATGATGATGAGGAGGAACCGTTGATAATAGATGCGAGTGACAAGACGGTGGGTGTCGATGAAGCTGTACAAAAACTAGGGTTAATTAGGAGGTTGGTCTCCTTGAGAAACCCTAATATCAAGTCGATGAAGATTGCACTTACGAAGGCATGGAACCTAAAACAAGATTTTACCATCACTGAGGTGGAGGAGAAGCTGTTTGCCTTCCAGTTTCGTGAACAAGACGATCGGAATAGAGTCAGATACGGAGGGCCGTGGCATCATGAGGGAGATCTACTGATTTTCAAAGAATATGACCTGAACAAAAAACCCAAATTGGAAGATCTTTATGAGATGGAAGTATGGATCAGGATACTGGATATACCCTCACCATATAGAAATCAAGGAATGGAAAAGAAGGTGGCAAGCAAGTTTGAGAGATTCTTACTCTTTGATGAATATAATTCAGGGCTCCGGAGCTCATTTATGCGCCTGCGAGTGGCAAAGGATATAAACAAACCTATCAGAAAGGGAATCAGATTGCAGATTGAAGGTAAGGATGTAGACTTTGAGGCTAAATATGAACGAATGCCAAACTTTTGCTTTTGCTGTGGCACAATTGGACATCCAAAAAATTTTTGTCGCCACCTGGATCCTTCGAAGGAAGACATGTATGAACATTGGATAAAAGCGGGACCACTCCCAAAGGGCCCTCGTAGGCCAAAGAGGATCGAGACAAGGACTCAAAGCTCTGGCAAGATCTGTGCAAGGAGTTTGGGGATGTATCGAGAAGCAGGAACACAATTCAATCTGTAGTTACTAAATAGATTGCCCCTTTTGTTCTACCAGAGGCAGGCTTGACAGACACTGAGAAACTTGTAAGATTGTCTGAAGAGCAACAACATGTGTACATAAAGGAACATGAGCCGTATGAGAGGGAGGAATCTGTAGGAATTTTTTGGAATGATCAACAAGCACAAAAAACAGGAACTCTGCCAAATAAAGAAACAATGCAGGTGGGAAAAAAGCTGGCGGCAACCACAAACCTGACTACTTTTAACATGGGAACATGAGGAGGTGCGAGTCTAAGCAAAAAAGGTGGAGGTATGGACCAGAAAGAAACAAGCAAGAGAGATGGATGGTGTCTCAAGCCCTATTACTACAGGTGACACGCTAAAACACAACACCAAACTGCAACCAAGTGTAATCGCAGTCCAGAAATGCAGTAAGTGGCCAACTCTATTTGTCAACCCGGGGTCTAGATCTACTGCCTACTCCGTGATTATCTATTATCTATCAAACTAAGTTGAGTGATAGTGATTTTAACTAAAAGCAGTAAGAAAGCAGGAAATGGTTCAAAGTTCTTTAGCAAGGGAAGAGTCACTCGGGATTGAGTCCCCCTAGCTACTTAGTTAGGTAAAGGTTGTAATTACCCTGGATTGATTAACGGTTAATTAAACTGCGGAAGATCCGACAGTAGCTTGGAATCTCTTAAGCTGACCAAGCCCTCTCAGGCAGACTAACCGACAGGCGACTAGCCTTCACCTGGATAGACTGCTGAGGCAATAAACGCAGAACTCCACTACTGGAATTAGATTCCAGTACAAAGCAGTAAATCGATTAACTCTCGTATAACCAATCTACCGCTACCGATTGATGAAGCTCTAACAACATAATCATATTCTATCTATCTCGGGTTGCAGCAAAATCAAGAAAAGATGATCAGGCTTCAATTGACTCAATGAATCATGCATCAATCGATTAAAATCAATCAGTATATCAATCCCAAATCATTACAATCAAGATCCCTAACACATGGAACTATGGTTCTTCATACCTAATTGAGAGAGAGAGTTCTACTCCATAGAGAGAGAGAGAGAGAGAGAGAGGAAAACATAAATCAGAGTAGTCATACTCATAAAGATGAGGATAATCTGCTATGGAATGACGATCTTCACTCATGGGGATGCAATCTGGGCTTCAATAGTGAGAAATCCACTCCAAATAGCTCCTAGGGTTTGTTCTTCGCACTTTCTCTCTCTAAAGCTCTGTTTTTTTGCTCAAAAACTCGATTCTCTTTCTTTTGGCT